CCCCCCCCCCCCCCCGAGTGACGCCCTCGCGCAATTACTTTCGCGAAGATCGTCGAGAAAGGAGGAACGATAATTTCGAAAAATTCAACCTGTTGCGACTTTGTGAAAAATCCTGTGCGACCGGTGAGCACGGCGAGGCTTTACATGTTGGTCAAATAATTTTCCCGATTCTCGGCCCTGCCTTCCGTTAAAATTTTTTGATTTGATTCTATTGGAAGTACGTACATATACGCGTGTACGTATTTGCTTGGTTGCATCGCGATGCTCGGGACGTGATTCTTGTAAATAAAAAGAATGGCGGATGCCGTTTAAATTTACATCGTTAATTACGTCCCACGTGTAACGTCTGTAAACAGCGTTTCGAATTTTCTGTGTGCGCGCAGCTCGACGATCGAGCAGCAACAGAAGCCGAAAGGTCACACTTTCAAGTCTCGCCCAATATGTTAATCTGCACCTTTGCCCCTCGCGAAATAACGTTCCTGCACTCCGCTAGCTCGAGGAAGATTCGATGTTTCGTCTGCGTTGTTATTAATAAGCGTCCCTCCCGTTTATAACAACAACGTCGTCGTATATTGCCTCGAAGAACCGTCGGAAACGATCAACAATCTCTTCGTTAAAGAATCCGAAGAAAGGTTAAAAGACAATCTTTAAAGAACAACAAGTTTCCCTATAATTACCGTGAACACCTGTGAAAGAGTCCCGGCAGCAAGTAAAACGTGCCACGCTTGGAATTTACAAAAGAGAATTTACAACAATTATGAGATAAATCCAAATTTCATAATGCTTGCAAATGTTTTATTTGCATAGTACTACGATGACAAATAATTGCGATCTTGTGCCAGAACACCAAGAGTCTGTTCGAGATTGGAAAAGAATGTTTTATTGATAATTGTGAATTGTTGCTAATAAAGATCACAACGTGGATGCACTGATTGCGAGCATGCTTGATATCTCGGCGAAGTGAAACGTAGGGGTTTTACATTGCTGCGAGTGCTCAGACGAATTATTTTTAGATGGCTTTGCGTATAGGTGTTATGGTATTGATAAAATATCGATGAGACCTTCTCCGCAAGGTTGGCGGTCCTCAGTGGAGCTTAAACGAGACCCGCTGAACGATAGTAATTAATTTCGTAATTAATCTTGAGCTGTAACAGCGCAATAGTAGTGTAGCATCCGCTGTATAGCGTTTCATTATTTTAGTCGTTTTTCCACTTTGATTTACGTTACTTTCAGATTTATTAGAACGAAAGAGTTTCCGAAGGTATTAATTACACATTTAACGTTGCAACGTGCTGTAATGTGTTCGTTAGACAGCTTTTCGAATAATAATAAAATATATTAAAATATAATAATATTAAATTAAATATAATAGTAAATATAATTAATAATAAATTAAATATAATAATATTAAAATATATTAACGTAATAACTACGAATTTGATCANCCCCCCCCCCCCCCCCGAGTGACGCCCTCGCGCAATTACTTTCGCGAAGATCGTCGAGAAAGGAGGAACGATAATTTCGAAAAATTCAACCTGTTGCGACTTTGTGAAAAATCCTGTGCGACCGGTGAGCACGGCGAGGCTTTACATGTTGGTCAAATAATTTTCCCGATTCTCGGCCCTGCCTTCCGTTAAAATTTTTTGATTTGATTCTATTGGAAGTACGTACATATACGCGTGTACGTATTTGCTTGGTTGCATCGCGATGCTCGGGACGTGATTCTTGTAAATAAAAAGAATGGCGGATGCCGTTTAAATTTACATCGTTAATTACGTCCCACGTGTAACGTCTGTAAACAGCGTTTCGAATTTTCTGTGTGCGCGCAGCTCGACGATCGAGCAGCAACAGAAGCCGAAAGGTCACACTTTCAAGTCTCGCCCAATATGTTAATCTGCACCTTTGCCCCTCGCGAAATAACGTTCCTGCACTCCGCTAGCTCGAGGAAGATTCGATGTTTCGTCTGCGTTGTTATTAATAAGCGTCCCTCCCGTTTATAACAACAACGTCGTCGTATATTGCCTCGAAGAACCGTCGGAAACGATCAACAATCTCTTCGTTAAAGAATCCGAAGAAAGGTTAAAAGACAATCTTTAAAGAACAACAAGTTTCCCTATAATTACCGTGAACACCTGTGAAAGAGTCCCGGCAGCAAGTAAAACGTGCCACGCTTGGAATTTACAAAAGAGAATTTACAACAATTATGAGATAAATCCAAATTTCATAATGCTTGCAAATGTTTTATTTGCATAGTACTACGATGACAAATAATTGCGATCTTGTGCCAGAACACCAAGAGTCTGTTCGAGATTGGAAAAGAATGTTTTATTGATAATTGTGAATTGTTGCTAATAAAGATCACAACGTGGATGCACTGATTGCGAGCATGCTTGATATCTCGGCGAAGTGAAACGTAGGGGTTTTACATTGCTGCGAGTGCTCAGACGAATTATTTTTAGATGGCTTTGCGTATAGGTGTTATGGTATTGATAAAATATCGATGAGACCTTCTCCGCAAGGTTGGCGGTCCTCAGTGGAGCTTAAACGAGACCCGCTGAACGATAGTAATTAATTTCGTAATTAATCTTGAGCTGTAACAGCGCAATAGTAGTGTAGCATCCGCTGTATAGCGTTTCATTATTTTAGTCGTTTTTCCACTTTGATTTACGTTACTTTCAGATTTATTAGAACGAAAGAGTTTCCGAAGGTATTAATTACACATTTAACGTTGCAACGTGCTGTAATGTGTTCGTTAGACAGCTTTTCGAATAATAATAAAATATATTAAAATATAATAATATTAAATTAAATATAATAGTAAATATAATTAATAATAAATTAAATATAATAATATTAAAATATATTAACGTAATAACTACGAATTTGATCAGTTACAATTTTCCAAGACTCGTATTTTCGTAAGTATACTGTTATTTTACGATTAGTCTTTAAGAGATTCCAAGTATGTTTAAGGGAAATATTATATAAATAATATATATATAATATAAATGGAAATTAAATAGGTAAATTCTCCGCAAAACAATGAGCACATATATACAGTCTAAAATCGATTCAAAGATTGAGTCACTTTTCTCCGACGTTAATCGTCAGTATTTATTGATTCTTCGACGTTATTTCGAAATATTTTTCAATGTTATCATTGCAAAACCCCAAAAGAGATCTCTAGCAACGTATCTATAATAATTCTTCAAGTGTTCAACCGGCTATTAATTAGTTATAAACGATTTTCACTTTTATGTTCTAATATTCAATTTTGGAGCAAATGATTCGTGCCGATTCTCCCGTAAGCGGCAATGTAAAGTCCGGCATGAATTTTCTGTTGCTTTCAAACGACCGTTCAGCGCCAATTCGTTGCAGCGGCAAAACGTCCAAACTGTTGGGCAACGTGACCGACGGTGAAAAGCAGTCGGTAATTTCAGCAGAATCTAAGTTTGGGTTTAATTGATGAACGATTTTACCATCAGCTAAAACTTTGATCAACCTTGTTAATGACTATCGATAATGCAGCTAACGATTCAATCGTTCGTTCGATTCGTCTGTCATGTTCTACATAGTTTATGGACATTCAGTCCATGCGTACTATACACCTTTGTTGTGATGCGATAAACCGTGATTTAGCAGTGTAACGTGTAAACCAGCGGTCAGGCATCGAGAAGTCTCAGAGTCGTTTAAAATCAAAGGTAAAATAATAATATATCCCCTATAAATTATTTAATCTAATTTTATCAAAGCATTACATTCACTTTGCATTTTATCCAGACAACAAATTGTAATACATAAAATTAAGCCATTGTTTCATTAATGCCCGACATTGTTTTGTTTACGTTTTCAAAATGTTCGTTTGAACGAACTGACGCGCGATCAAAAAATCATTCTTAATAATCCAAATGCTAAAACTACGCACATATTTTCGTTGTATCAGTTAAAAAAATACATTTCCTAACAATTCAGGAAATATTTGAAAATAAATGATCTGCTTTATTATGTGCTTTTACATAATTTTATTTATTTTTTTAGGAGCATGAAAGTGATGAATCTTACATATTTGTTGATTACAAGAAATAATTATATTGAAGTAATCTGTACATTACAGCTTGTACATAATAGTTAGAAAATTAATCAAGTTTGTGTACTGAGAAATATAAAATATGTCATCGATGTCGAAATCAAAAGGCTGCCTGTTTTTGGCTTCGTCGCTCTGCGATGGTGTGGAAGACAATAATATAATGTAAGGAACATTTTTTTGGTCTTATATTTTATACCAATCTTATATTTGTATTTTCTATTTTATTTCTCTTGTAATAGGCAAGTAACAACTTTACTCCTAAATACAGATGCAAACCCTAATACATTAATTCCTTCGTATGGTGTAACACCATTTCACTTGGTAATAGGTAATGATTCCGAAGCCTTTGCAGAGGAGGTAACAAAATTGTTCTTACGTCATGGAGGAAACCCAAATGTTAAGTAAGTAATTATATCATTACTTGAATAAATACGATAATCTGTTTTAACATACCTAAATGTTGATCTTCAAAGATCCATGGATGGACTGACTCCAGTTCATGTGGCAGCAGCATGGGGCAGAGTCACGGTACTAGAAATGCTTCTGGCAAATGGTGGCGATGCTCTTTGTCTGGACTTTGAAGGACGCAGTCCATTTCATTACGCATTCGATGGGAAATATTATGAAGCCATTACAGTGCTTGGAAAATATTGCGAAAAAATTACTAAAGAATTTAAGCCAACAAAACATAAAATAACATTTAGTACGTAGACCAACGAAACAAAATAATATTTGCTTTATTCATACCTTTGTTTTTTATGTAACAGATAAACTTCTTGTTAACAATGGGGATGTGGTAGCAGAGTATACTGCACTGGTAAACGCTGACATGTTGGAAGAATTTCAAACAAATGAAAAAGATAGATTCTCCGACGTCAAGAATAAATACTTTTACTTCAATGATAACCAGTCAGACATCAAAGACGCAGAACATAGACTTCGCGAGGAAATGGTCAAAGAGAAATGCTTACTTAATCAAATAATTAATCAATTATCGAGTTCGCTAAATTCAAACTCTAAAGAAGTAGAGGTCAATAATGAGCACAAACATGATAAGGACAATCAGTGCGATACAAGTCCATTGTCCACACTGAATGTAGACAAGCTAAGAAAAACTAGGACAAAAAAACGATGTGTTACTCCACGATATAAGCGTAGAATTTTTGCACAAAATAATAGTAATAATAAAATCCCATTGACTCCTCTGCAGGATCCAAGCGATTCCATCATAAGCAAATCGCCTAATTTTGTAATAGGAAACACGATTGAAAGCGAACAAAGATTCTTAACGCCTAAATTACTGAATAGAGAATCGAAATTTAGAACGTATACACCTTGCGTGACGAGAACTGGATTGGTTAGATCAGACGAGTTTAATTTTGGAAAAGAAATGGCGAGATCTACTCCAAGAAGAAAACGATTTTATAGGCAATATTCATCAAACAGGAAATTTAGGAAAAATGATGTACTGAATTCGTCAGGGAGTACGAGTCCCGACTCCTCAACGAATTCCTTGTCGCCGGTTGAAAATCGTCATCCCAGATTACCTTATAAGTTGACTAAAAACATTAGCAAAAATCTAGCAGTAAGATTATATGACGATGATGTGCCAAAAAGTCCAAATTTTAATGAGAAATATAAACTGAGAGGTTTAGCCAGCGAATTAAGTGATTTAGAAAATTTACATATTGAAGAAGAAGCAGATTGTATTGGGAGGAAAACAGATAGTATGAATGTAAACGAAAGCTTCCGTGGAAAATATTTAAAGGAAATGAAAAATAATGACACTTTAAACAGCTATAGGGAAAATTATAATGTATTTTCATCTAGGTAAATTCATTCATTCGTTGATAATGTGTTTGTTGAAGTTAATATTAATATGTTCAAGTATTAATGAAATAATTATTTTCAGTTTCCAGACAGAGTCGTTTATCAGTGTGCAAGAAGAATATAAATATGAAGATCCGGATGAAGGTATAGCTTTTCTGGAACGCAGAATTTACACGATACCGCCATGGTAAGTTATTAGAAATGGATTCAATGTATTTCTGCCATTAAGATGTTAATAATTGATACTGATCTGATTTGATTACAGTAAACCTAGAGAAAATTTCACTACATCTAACACATGTAAGATTCATCAAATTTACTTCATTCTAATTACATGCAGGGTGCGCATTTATTAATGTTTACTAAATATATCTTTAGGGCCTGAATCATTAAACTTATCAACAGATGTATTCATATCGAGCGAGGAGCTACGAAAAAAGTTAGTTAATCTAGGTGATAATCCAGGACCAATAACTAGCACAACAAAACAATTATACTTAAAAAGACTGATTAATTTAGAAAAGAAAATAGAACTGGAATCATTATGCTATAACACTGTTCCTCCCAAGATCTGTTCCAACATGGATGACTGTATTTTTGAAATCAAATCTTCTTTGACATATGGAGACTGGATTAATAATCTGGGACGGTATAAGATTATCGAGAAGACTATTTTTAAAGAGTTTTGTTACGTGGATCCTTCTAGGAAGTGGAGGGAAGGAATAAACAAGACTTGCTTCAATTATTTGCTTTTGGATCCGCGAATAACAAAGGATTTGCCTTGTCGTGTAGAAACTATGACAAAGTCTGCAATTTGGACCACATTTCTGTCTGCCGTATTCTATGTAGGTAAAGGTACACGTAACAGACCATATTCTCATCTTAAGGACGCTTTTGAAGCATGGGTATCAACAGAGAACACTGAGAATGCAAAGATCCAGCAAATCTTAAACATTTGGAATGATGGTTATGGAGTTGTTTGTCTCCACGTATTTCAAAATGTTATTCCTGTGGAAGCTTACACTCGTGAAGCTGCTATGATCGATGCTTTGGGAATAAAGAAATTGAGGAACTGTAAAAACGGAGACTATTATGGAATAGCAGCGACTTGGAACATAAAAGAAAAATGTAACTTTGGAAGATATTTACTCTATCAAGCAATGCAGATATTTTTATATGAAGGAGAGAGACAAATACTTCCTCATAATTTGTGAGGATTCGTATTTATGTGCATATGAAGTTTTAGCTGTGCTAATAACGATATTTAAGTGCAATATTACAGAAAGGAATAAATAAAGTTCGAGCTATCTTTTCAAAATAGTGTTTACTTAATAATTTTATGACTATGAAGTTTTAATAAAATGTATTACTTTGATACTTTCATAAGTATGTCCTCTCTGGCTCTGTTTTTCTCGCTCTCTTGGCCTTTTTGCCTTTTGGATACCACCTGTGTTTTGTCGTATACGATATTTTTGCAAGCTCTTGGATAACTTCTTCTCTTCGTTTATTATAGAATACCTCTGCTATTTCCTTTCCTCCAATACATAATACAGAATCTGATACAGGTTGTTTCTCTTCTGGTAGAGGCAACGAACATTCATATGGGAATTCTTGTTCCGGATGCCAACAGACAATCATTTCTTTATTTAGTGGCACAATCAGTTCAGCAGGCAATTTTTTAAAACTTGAATATCGCTTACAGGTGAAGTTTAGGGTGCGTGCAAAACAAAGTGCTCTATTCATCTGTTTCAAAATAAGAATAATTAGCAATATTTCATATTTTTATATTAAATATTAGGACGTTAAAGCATGATTTTAAAAATACGACATGGCTCTAGCCATCAATAATATAATGGAAATGCATTTTAAAAATTAGATTATGAGTATATTTTTTAAACATAACCTTGACAAATTTGGGAAATTGTTCTACCTATTAATAAGTAATAGGTTTATACCTTAACTACGTTTCCGATTATTGTATGTTGGATGCAAAGTCGATATTATAAATAAGTTCTGCAAATTAATTTTGTAATATTCACTTTACTCAAAATAGTACAAGCGTAGTTTCGGTACTTATGTTTTGATACACTTTTAATATCGATACGAACTAACTTGCAGACGCATGCGTACTGGAAATTGATTTTGAAAATTTTGAGGTCACGTGTCACGTCACGACATGATAGGTTCCTACAGGAGTTTCGCATCTATAAAAAACTTCTACATACATATGTACATATGTATGTACATGTATATGAACAAATACGCATGCGTAATTAACAATGAAATGTATAATACCTGATACATAATACCGGTCGCCGGCACAAGTGACAGGTATTCAGGCATGCACATCAGAGAAGTGTTCTGCTTTGTCAATTGTTTACTGTTAATAATTAATGAGTACTTACCAGTCTTCCCAGTAAGAAATCATTCTCTAATTATACGTGCTTAAAATATCCGACGATTTATCTCACTTGCAAAATTTTTTATTACAATCATGACAAATTTGGAGCGTTAAAGAAATTTTCCAAATGTTTTGTTAAATATTTTAAAACGATTCACACAATTTAAACTCACGTAAATGAATCTGTTTCGCTTAATCAACCACAAGCTCTGAATCTGTGATTAAATGAATTGTAACACCAGCTTGGTTCATGTTAAATTACTTGATAGTAACCAATCAGTTAAATTATACACTCTCCCCTTCTGTCTAGCTTGCTTGACACATTAGGGACACAGATTCCTTTAGAAATTTCTATACTATTTCCTGATAAGTATTACAATAATCCCTTAATATAAAGATTATAAATATGTAATTAGTTTACAGGAATGTAAAGTGGATATCAATTTTGGAAAATGGCACAAGTGCAGAGGATGTTGCATCCATGGAACCTTTTACTTCTTATTTTAATTCAGTTTTTGATACAATTCTTCACATCTATTTATCTTTATACTTATGTGGCTCGTGTGGAGACTGATGTCAATAATATAAGAACTCAGGAGATTTTAGAACCACAGAAACTGATGCGCCGAAAACGGAATAGTGCATTGCCTGTAACAGAGGATAACAAAGTTTCAGACACATCCAGAGTATATATTTTTATTACACTTTATAACAGATTATATATTGCTATTACTTTATTATTATCTTTGTTTTAAAAGGACATGTTAAAAGAGTCCAAGAAAGTCACTTCTCCTCCCATGGCAGTGTCTGGCCTGGCATCTTCTCCAATCACTCCCATGGGACACGATTGGGTGTGGCTAAATGCAGACACTCGTGTCCAGGTTTAGTTTCCGATAAGTACATTCCCAAAAACTGAAAGAAAGAATCTTAATAACAGCTTTGTATATTATAGGTTGATGCCATTGAGAATTTTTGTCGAGCTTCAATGAAATACTGTCCACCAGGACTACCGGGAGCACCAGGAAGCCCAGGAGCACCTGGTGTGCCAGGTCTTCCAGGAATGCAAGGAATGACTGGTCCAAAGGGACCACCTGGTTTAACTGGTCCTCCAGGTCCTCGTGGAATGAAAGGTGATGTAGGACCACCAGGTTTCGATGGTAGAGATGGAGTTCCAGGTGAACCAGGTCTTGATGGGATTCCTGGACGCAGTGGCTTAGACGGAATTCCAGGGATAAATGGTAAACCAGGGCTGAATGGATCTCCTGGGCGACCTGGTCGAAATGGCACAGATGGTATGCATTTCATGAAACTGCTTTCTAATCTTATTCTTTCTTGTTACTTGAGGGGTAAAGAGGATTTCGATTTCCCGATTTCAGGAAGGCCAGGTCAAATAGGACCACAGGGACCACCTGGACAGCGTGGTAACTTAATCTTATTTCCCTCATTCTAATTGCGCATGGGTGAAAAAAAAGACACGTTGTTGATGTGAGCAACTTTAGGCGATATGGGTCCACCTGGTAGATCAGGCTTGCCAGGTCAAGATGGCAAGCCAGGGATAACAGCCTGGAAGGTGAACATGAATGACTATAATCTAAACGATCTGTTAATTCCTCCTTCGATTTTAGGTGAGTAATTTTACTAGAAATATCCAGAAATTGTATTTCAATTGAACCTTGTTCATTAATCTTTCCAGATGATAGAATGTTACCAGCGAACATGAACTCTACAAGACTGATTTCAGTTAATGAAGGGACCAACACACGATTAAAATGCGCAGCTAGCGGAAAGCCCGAGCCTGTTATCCAATGGTTTAGAACCGACGGTAGTGTTATACCCGTAGGATATTGGCATGGTAATGCGAAACATGACGATCAGGGACATTTAAAATATTTTCTCAAATATATTATTATTCTATGTGCTGCTCTTTTTTTATTCACACTTGCTAAACTTATTGTATAGTGCCTTCCATTATTGGACACACGTTTAACATCAGCGTAGTGAACAGAGAACACATGGGAGAGTACACCTGTGTAGCTGACAATGGAATCCCTCCTCGGGCAGTGAAGAGGTTTAAACTTGAGGTCAAGTGTAAGCATCTCATTCTATGGTTACCCGGTTTTTTGTTATTAAAAAATAACATTTAATTAATTTTTTAGTTCCGCCATTCATTCGAATACGAAACCAAATAATCCATGTACGAAGCCAAAGTACAGCGACTCTAGAATGTGAAGTCGAAGCATATCCGGAACCCAGTTTTTATTGGGAACGTGACGATGGTCGTCGCCTAAGAATGTCTGACAAATATAAAATAGAGGTTTACGATAAGAAAGATATTTATAAGGTAATGCAAATAATATTATACGGTAAATCATAAATATACAGTAAATAATATTATAATGGTTTTTTTCAGCACAAAATGCGATTGAAAATTACTAAAATAACTTTGGCGGACCATGGTACCTACCATTGTGTTGCCAAGAACGATATTGATACTACCAAGGGCTCGTTCATAGTCAATGGTCAGACATTTATTATGAACATTTATTATTCCAATAGAAGATTAATTAAATTTCAATTCATTTTTTTTAGATGATATAAAGAATATAGACAAATTAAAGACTGGGAAACATGTTATCTATGGGGATCCAGCACCACGACACGTTGATTTGGAGGAACTCTGTACACCGCGCGAGACTTGTGCAGCTTGCCCAGTTTTAAGATGCACTTTTACAGATGTTGCAGAATATTTGAATGTTCAGCCACTTAGGAGCGTCAACTTTACAGGACTTCCTCCACGATTGGCAGGTTAATTAAACTAGAGAGTATATAAAGGCTACCTCCTCAAATATTAATAATTTAATTACTTGTTAACATATTTGCAGATGGGGTAATAGAAGCTTTAGGTAAGCCAGTTCTGAAAGGCACAATGGATGATCATTATGGAAGTTGGATGCATGATGCATCTTCGAGATTGGATGGTTTTTCCGATAAACTTTGGGTTACTAGAAAGAATGATACCGCTTTCATTTTTGAGTACAAATCGAAAGATCATTTTAAAAATGGTAGTTCGTATCCCATTCCATTGCCCTATCCGTTTCAGGTGTGTTGGAATATGTTTAAAAATTTATTTTACAAGACATTGAATCATTTAAAATGATTTATTATTTACTTTTAGGGAAATGGGCATATAGTATACAACAGATCATTCTTCTACAATCCCATAAATCGGTCTTCCATTTTTCGCTACAAACTCCATTCGATTTCTGATCATATATGCGACAAAGAGTTCCCACGATGTGAACTTCATCTTCCAGGATTGCTAGTGAACACGAGAAACTATCTCTACACACCTAATCACAATTTTAATTACGTTGACTTTAATGTTGACGAAAATGGTAATTGTCATCTTGTAGAATCACCAAAAACAGAAGATAAATAGTACACAAGTTATTTTTTAACAGGCTTATGGATAATATATGGATTACCATCGAATAACACAGTTGTGGTAAAAATGGATGCAAATACTATGAACATTCAATATGCATGGAATATTAGTATCGATCACCATAAATTTGGAGAAATGTTTATTGCTGGTGGAGTACTTTATGCTGTTCATAGTGTCACTGAAGAAACCATGAAAATAAGGTAAAGACGAACGCTTAAGTTACCAGAACTATTTATTTAATAATGTTTTCTTTTTCAGATTAGCTTTCGATCTTTATAAAAATATTACCATGCCCGTTCATTTATCGTTTACGAATCCTTATCATAAAACTACAGCCGTTAGTTACAATCACAAAACGAAGGTAAACCATTTTAATTAAAAACAACAAATAAAGATATCTTGAGGATTCGATCGTATTAATTTTTAGGAACTTTACACTTGGAATAAAGGAAATCAACTGGCCTACCCTATAAAATATCAAGGTTTCGCGAATGTAACTGCAAAAGAAGAACTGAGGAACATAGAAACTGGCATTTGAAATTCCAGCCGAACTGGTTCTATACGGTTTACAAAGTATATGTATATACACTTCGAATTTTCATTAATATATGTACAAAAGAGAGACAATAAGAGAAAACATCTTTTGGCCTCTTTCAAATACACTTTAACTTCATTTTATCCCTAGTGCTTTGAAGACAACGTTGAACATGCTATGAAAATTGAGTTTCTTTATTATAAGTGAATTATTGGCACCGAAAACAATAATTTACGAATTATAGAATGATAAAATAATAAAGTTTATATATGCATATAGAGAAATTGAAGATAACGTTAAACTTCTAAATATATAAAAAATTTAAAATATTCAAACAATATAGAAAAGAATAATATTAAATATGAATATAGAAATGCATAAAAATATTTTAAAGAAATTGAGAAATATTTAAAGGACCAGCTTGTCCAGCAGGTAATGGAAAGATGGCGCGCAGTGACACGGTTTAATTAAATAAAGAGGAAAGAAGTCTGAACAGGTGAGGTGAGAGAGAAGGAACTGCTTTGACAAGTGTTGAAGTGTTCCTCTTTTGCCTATTGCCATCGTAATTTCTCTGTGATCGAGAAGTATATCTGTATTTCTGCGGTGGAATTGTCATCTGAATTTGTAAAAGGATAAAGGAACCTATGAACGAAGAGCTAAGGGGCACAGTAGTTGAAAAAATGGTAAGCGCGAAGTAACAGATGAACATCTAGATTGAACCTAACCTGCAAAGAACGAACATTCTTTCGCTGCTTGTTTCGACACGAATCGAAACATGTTTTATGCGTCAGCGAAACATTTGTTCGTTTAACTTTCACTTTACACAGCTTTTTCCTACATTTACGTGGACATTCATAACCTCACTTTCTTAATTGGAGTAATACGAGATTTTTGTATTTACATCTGTTATTGTTTCTTATCTGTTGTCACTGTTAAAAGTCGCAATGGCCTAACAAAATCTTTCCTTTGACGTCTAAAGAATTTAATTATATGAAATCCGAAGATTAGCATAACCTTCTTATGTAAACTGACAATTCGTAAATTTTACTTGTATTATTGTAAATGATGTTACAAAGTAGCACTATTAATACATTTTAAATTGTATTTAATTACATTGCAATTCGGATCGCTTATTTTATTTAATTGCGATGTATTTAGTAATGCAGTATAATTACAAAGTACAATGTAATGTAATTGAATCAGAATTACATTGTATTCGATTTCAATTCACCCCTTATTTCAATTATATTACATTACAATCACAGTGTAATTCAATTTCAATGTAAATTAAATTGCTATGTAATATAAACATGGAGTAGNGTTATTTTAATATTAAATGGATTCAGAATGTAATCAAATGAATTTTAATGGAAACATTATAGTTTAATGCTACAGTCGGTAATGATGAATTATTCATTAGCATAATCCAATATGAAGTGTGTACAGACTAAGAGTATGGTAATCTCTTGTAGAGCAGTACAGTATGTTTGGAAGTAAGGCACAGAAAGGTGACTGTATCATGTGCTTTAAATTTTATTTATTATCCACAATGGAGTTCAATTTTAGAAATTCTTCCTATATAGCATATTTGGTATGGATCATTTTCAAATTATATTACATTTTATTTCCCAGGTTGCAATGCCATGGAGAAGTTTCCACTGAAAGGTACGAACTTGTTGAACACTACAATACCGCAAAATTATCAGAACACATTAACGACATACCAATCTCTTGATACAAAGGTATGTGAAAGAAGTTCAATCGCGGAAGGCGGAAACCGGAAATAGTAAAAGATTTCTTTTCCATGATAACAGGTAGAGAACTCTGACGATGTGCATTTTGTAGAGGATGTGCGATCGCGGAATCGAACTGCTGGACGTGAGAATAATCTGAGCAGCGACGAAGACATGTTGGAGGTCAACAATGTAAACTCCCACCAAGGGGACAGTACTGTCTTCTCAGACAATTGTATTCGCATTGACGATTCGTCCTCTCACAGTGAGTGACTTCTTCTATGAGGGCAATGGGTAACTTTTTAAGCACCATTCCCGTCGAATCTTAATCTTCATTGTTTCAGTTTCAGTGGATTCCGATGACATTCCTGGAATTGGCCAGTATGATGATTTCCATACAATCGACTGGCAAAGGGATATTGCCAGAGATAGAATGCGGCATCGATACATTGTCAAGAAAAAGCATGATTCCATTTGGCGCTTGATCAAGGGTGCTCACGATGCGTGGTCCGGATGGCTCTGTGTTTTGTTCGTCGGTTTCTTTACAGGAGTTGCAGCAGGTATCATAGACATTGGTGCCTCGTGGATGACCGACTTAAAGTTTGGTATATGCCCCCAAGCTTTTTGGTTGAACAAAGAACAATGTTGTTGGAGCTACAATGAGACAACTTTCGATGGTGCCAACTGTACTCAGGTACATCTGTCTCTTCTTTTGTTCTTTCCTGCGTCCAATGCTTGATTATTTTATGTTACTTTCAGTGGTTGGCGTGGCCGGAAGTATTTAGCCAATCGAAGGATGGCGCAGGACCTTACATGATCTCATATATGTTTTACATAGCATGGGCTCTTTTGTTCGCGTCTCTCTCTGCATCATTAGTAAGAATGTTTGCTCCATATGCCTGTGGCTCTGGTATTCCTGAAGTATGTATAGATACAGAAGGACAGTGAAAATTGCAGACTGGAATCGTATATGAATAACACCTCTATATTGTTTAGATAAAAACCATACTAAGTGGATTCATTATTCGTGGATACTTAGGAAAATGGACGCTGATAATCAAATCAGTCGGTCTAATCTTATCAGTTTCGGCGGGATTAAATTTGGGCAAGGAGGGACCAATGGTCCATATAGCCTGTTGCATAGGGAACATATTTTCCTATCTATTTCCAAAGTATGGCAAAAACGAAGCTAAGAAAAGAGAGATCTTATCAGCAGCTGCTGCTGCCGGGGTCTCAGTGGCTTTCGGTGCTCCAATTGGAGGCGTTCTTTTCAGTCTTGAAGAGGTAAAGGATCGCTTATATCTTTCGAGAAGTAGAGGCTATAATAATATATTAATTTTCTAGGTGAGCTATTATTTTCCTCTGAAAACGTTATGGCGATCATTCTTTTGTGCTTTGATAGCTGCATTTGTACTGCGATCGATAAACCCCTTTGGCAACGAGCACTCAGTGCTCTTTTATGTTGAATACAACAAACCCTGGATATTCTTCGAGCTAATACCTTTTATCATGCTGGGTATAATCGGGGTAAGCTTTTGTTTCGAGTTCATCGTCATGGACAAAGGACACTTCAATATCTCTCCTTTTGNTAAACATGGAGTAGGTAAATTACATAATTTTTTTGATTTAAGTTAATCATGTAGTTATATTTTCCTATGGTATTTATGCTATTACCAATACTTGCTATCAATAATAATTGAAGGTATATTAATCTTTTTGTTATTTTAATATTAAATGGATTCAGAATGTAATCAAATGAATTTTAATGGAAACATTATAGTTTAATGCTACAGTCGGTAATGATGAATTATTCATTAGCATAATCCAATATGAAGTGTGTACAGACTAAGAGTATGGTAATCTCTTGTAGAGCAGTACAGTATGTTTGGAAGTAAGGCACAGAAAGGTGACTGTATCATGTGCTTTAAATTTTATTTATTATCCACAATGGAGTTCAATTTTAGAAATTCTTCCTATATAGCATATTTGGTATGGATCATTTTCAAATTATATTACATTTTATTTCCCAGGTTGCAATGCCATGGAGAAGTTTCCACTGAAAGGTACGAACTTGTTGAACACTACAATACCGCAAAATTATCAGAACACATTAACGACATACCAATCTCTTGATACAAAGGTATGTGAAAGAAGTTCAATCGCGGAAGGCGGAAACCGGAAATAGTAAAAGATTTCTTTTCCATGATAACAGGTAGAGAACTCTGACGATGTGCATTTTGTAGAGGATGTGCGATCGCGGAATCGAACTGCTGGACGTGAGAATAATCTGAGCAGCGACGAAGACATGTTGGAGGTCAACAATGTAAACTCCCACCAAGGGGACAGTACTGTCTTCTCAGACAATTGTATTCGCATTGACGATTCGTCCTCTCACAGTGAGTGACTTCTTCTATGAGGGCAATGGGTAACTTTTTAAGCACCATTCCCGTCGAATCTTAATCTTCATTGTTTCAGTTTCAGTGGATTCCGATGACATTCCTGGAATTGGCCAGTATGATGATTTCCATACAATCGACTGGCAAAGGGATATTGCCAGAGATAGAATGCGGCATCGATACATTGTCAAGAAAAAGCATGATTCCATTTGGCGCTTGATCAAGGGTGCTCACGATGCGTGGTCCGGATGGCTCTGTGTTTTGTTCGTCGGTTTCTTTACAGGAGTTGCAGCAGGTATCATAGACATTGGTGCCTCGTGGATGACCGACTTAAAGTTTGGTATATGCCCCCAAGCTTTTTGGTTGAACAAAGAACAATGTTGTTGGAGCTACAATGAGACAACTTTCGATGGTGCCAACTGTACTCAGGTACATCTGTCTCTTCTTTTGTTCTTTCCTGCGTCCAATGCTTGATTATTTTATGTTACTTTCAGTGGTTGGCGTGGCCGGAAGTATTTAGCCAATCGAAGGATGGCGCAGGACCTTACATGATCTCATATATGTTTTACATAGCATGGGCTCTTTTGTTCGCGTCTCTCTCTGCATCATTAGTAAGAATGTTTGCTCCATATGCCTGTGGCTCTGGTATTCCTGAAGTATGTATAGATACAGAAGGACAGTGAAAATTGCAGACTGGAATCGTATATGAATAACACCTCTATATTGTTTAGATAAAAACCATACTAAGTGGATTCATTATTCGTGGATACTTAGGAAAATGGACGCTGATAATCAAATCAGTCGGTCTAATCTTATCAGTTTCGGCGGGATTAAATTTGGGCAAGGAGGGACCAATGGTCCATATAGCCTGTTGCATAGGGAACATATTTTCCTATCTATTTCCAAAGTATGGCAAAAACGAAGCTAAGAAAAGAGAGATCTTATCAGCAGCTGCTGCTGCCGGGGTCTCAGTGGCTTTCGGTGCTCCAATTGGAGGCGTTCTTTTCAGTCTTGAAGAGGTAAAGGATCGCTTATATCTTTCGAGAAGTAGAGGCTATAATAATATATTAATTTTCTAGGTGAGCTATTATTTTCCTCTGAAAACGTTATGGCGATCATTCTTTTGTGCTTTGATAGCTGCATTTGTACTGCGATCGATAAACCCCTTTGGCAACGAGCACTCAGTGCTCTTTTATGTTGAATACAACAAACCCTGGATATTCTTCGAGCTAATACCTTTTATCATGCTGGGTATAATCGGGGTAAGCTTTTGTTTCGAGTTCATCGTCATGGACAAAGGACACTTCAATATCTCTCCTTTTGTTTTCTAGGGAGTGATCGCTACTTTGTTCATCAAGGCAAACTTGTTTTGGTGTCGGTACCGCAAGACGTCGAAGCTGGGTCAGTATCCGGTCACCGAAGTTCTGATAGTGACGGTGGCAACGGCAGTGATTGGATATCCAAATCCGTATACTAGGATGAGTACCAGTCAACTTATTTATCTATTGTTCAGTCAGTGCGGGGTATCGAACGCTGATATTTTATGGTTTGTAAACAACATCAATTACACTGTCCACTAAGCAAAAAACATTTGTCTAACAAGTTGTTTCTTTTTTATTCAGCGACTACAACAGAAATTTCACTGCGGTGAAATCAGCGATAGAAATAGCGGCAGCCGGTCCTGGAGTCTATAAGGCAATATGGCTGCTGGTATTAGCATTAATCCTGAAACTCGTCATGACGATATTCACGTTCGGCATGAAAGTACCTTGCGGTCTATTTATCCCGTCGCTTTGCCTGGGAGCCATAATGGGTCGCATAGTTGGCATAGGCATGGAGCAACTCGCTTACAATTATCCACATATTTGGATGTTCAGCGAAGAATGTTCTACCGGCGTGGATTGCATTACTCCAGGATTGTACGCGATGGTAGGAGCTGCTGCTGTCCTTGGCGGGGTCACCAGAATGACAGTGTCTTTGGTGGTGATCATGTTCGAGTTAACGGGTGGTGTAAGGTACATCGTGCCCCTGATGGCTGCAGCCATGGCCAGCAAATGGGTGGGCGATGCCCTTGGGAAGCAGGGCATCTATGATGCGCACATTGACTTAAACGGCTATCCATTCCTTGATAGCAAGGACGAATTTCAACACACCACCCTTGCCGCAGACGTTATGCAACCCAAGTAAATTATTTGCTAAGTGCTTTAAATTTTCTATATGTTTTTTATTTTCATTTTCCAAAATCTTATCATCTGCATTTTATTCAGGCGAAACGAAGCCCTCCACGTGCTTACGCAAGATTCAATGACGGTTGAGGATGTTGAGAATTTGCTGAAGGAAACAGAGCACAATGGTTTCCCCGTGATAGTGTCCAAAGAGTCCCAGTATTTGGTTGGTTTCGTATCGCGCAGAGATTTGAATCTTGCAATTGCAAATGCTAAACGCATGATAGAGGAAATCACTGGGCAGTCGTTAGTCCTGTTCACCAATGGAAACAATATTCAGAACCACTCCCCTCCGCCTCTGAAGTTGAAGAAGATCCTTGACATGGCTCCGATCACTATTACAGACCAGACACCCATGGAAACCGTCGTTGATATGTTTAGGAAGTTAGGTTTGAGGCAGACGCTTGTCACGCATAACGGGTATGTATTTTTCACATTCTGGACAATCTATGTCTTATAATCCGTTCATACTTAATTATTTCTTTAATTATATGTATGAATCTCTTGCAGTCGACTTTTGGGAGTCATCACGAAGAAAGATGTATTGAGACACGTGAAGCAGCTCGACAACGAAGATCCTAATTCCGTATTGTTTAACTGAAATGTATATAAAATTGTGTAAGAGAAGATGGTAAGAAGCGTTTTATAATGTAGTAGGAATCGAGAAGAAAGCTACAAGGAATTGCTCTCGCGTCCGTTCGATCTTTTAATTCCAAAAGGGATGAAACTCTCATATCCTTCGCAATTTCCAAAGTTAATGTATTTTTATAATTTAGTATTTATAACGTTGCTAAAATGTGGTTTTAAGAACATAGTGCATGCACGAGCAATTATATTAGATATTGCAATGAATTGGAGCAATTTTGAAATATTTTTAAGTCGCGAAAGGGTGAGATACTACTTTTTAAATTATTTCGGACGTACTATACTTTATAAAATGCTTCGGACATCTGATTGATATTCATACGCGAGGTATGTGGCAATTAGGACGCATGTACTCCTCGTACATGAAAAGATGGCACAGAGAACCTTCTAAGAGCATCTATGCCCATCACCTGATGTCCCTACTTCTAGTATCCAGCTACTATCCATAAGAGTGGGGTCTCGCAGATCTCCCCGCACTCCGCCGTCGATATCTCCCCATCTTTTCGTGGATGGTGAGTACGTCATATACATGAATGTAAACGAGAACATGCTCTTAATTTTTTAAACGAACTTTCGATTTTAAAGAGACTAGAGTTAATCGAACACTTGTAATCATGATAGAGGAGAAAAGACAGATTGCAGTTGATTTCTTTTGGGTCGCTGGAAAAAAGCTATTGGGAGCTCGGAGCCACTCCCCTAGCTGTAATAGAGTATTTTGGTTGACGCGAAGTGCAACGGAAATTTTAGAAAGTGTAATAGAATACTTGTTGCTTAGTTCGATTTTTCTTATCTTAAAATGCGAACCAAAAATGAATTTCCGATCGACACTGTCGATTTTCGGTATAAATATGTATATATACAGATACAGTATGCGAGCACGTATGCAATTAGTATAAGCATATGGATGTTATGAGTACTGACGTTACTGTGCATCTTTATATGGATATGTACCAATGTTGAACTACTAATGTAAAAATAAATGCATTGTTTACACTATAATCTGTTAGTGTAACCGCTCGATTATGATGATTAGATTGCGGGTTTTCATACGCTTGCTGCGTCTGCATATATTTGGAATACGAGATAACGTTCATATGATTATTTCATTGAAAAATTAATATTTATATTGTATTTGTTATCGCAAGGAATTTGCATCCTGATTTTAGCTCTTAGGAGATTAGATGTGCAAATGAGAAACTGAATGAAGATCCGCTGTCTAGTGATGATAGGGGAGATGGTACTGTCCTATGTCACATTTACTATTATTTAATATTTTAATTTAATTGCATTGTTACAGCAACTTGTATTTTAAATTATACCAAATGATATGTTTCGTATAATAATACTCATGTTATTTTTAATAATATAAGCGATTTACATACTTTATAATAGTATTTACAATGTATGTAACAGGGAATTTTTATAGTGCAGGGATATTTATAAACAAATTAATTTTCCAAAAATCAAAATTGTCTAATTTTTTATCTTTGTGGATCAACAACATAACTTAACAAGTAATTATGAAATCTGCATGTTGTATAAATTTTCTGCAATAAGTACAGTAACTATCATAATTACAGCAATAAACAAAATAAATTATTAATACATAAGGATCAAATCAAGCTGTATTTTGGATTGTACCATTAGTATTACTTACCTTATTTTCAATCATTTTAGCAATCTTTCTGTGAATAACATTTCATTAATGATTTTATTATTAATATTTGCAACGTGTAAGATATTTACACAAAAATTAATTTTTTAGAAGCCAACATTAAGTTTGATATGTTTGTGTCTGACACATAACTCAACAAATTACAAAGTTTACATATGAATTCCTGACACTAATATAAACGATAATGAATAAAAATACCTTCACGTGAAATTTGTATTCGAATTCCCGCGTGCCCGGCAGTGTACGCAACCCACCCAACATCGATGCATTTAGCACCCCTAGTCCTGAGTTGCTCAATGCAGCGGTGTCGAACGGGTTGCGTATGACGCGGTGCAGGCGGGAATTCAAATTCAAATTTCGCGTGAACATATTTTGGTTTAATACACGATTAGTTAGTCTATTCAAACAATATACAATAAAAATCTCCCATTTTGCGCGCGCACACTGCAAATACTATTCTCAAAAAATAATATAAGAATGCCGAAGAAGCCTGAATTTGTGTGCCCGAGGAAAGAAATCTGTCCGATCATTTCCTACGCAAGGTCCTCCGTCAATCCAACAGCGTTGAACAAGAACTGCGAAACACCACTTATCCGAACCGGTTCGGTGGATGATCCAGTGCGAAAGCTAGATTACTAATGCAATATTAGAAACAACGTAAACAGTGTTACAATGCGAAACACTGTGGCGCCGCAACCCGCTAGATCGGCAAGGCCGTGCAGGCGATTAAGCGTCCGCCTCGTCACCTGCAGGGGTCGGTGTCGCGATGGTGGGGGTTAGCGCTAAGGGTGGCCGAAGAACGTCCGTGTCGGTTCGCTTAGTTTCGCGGCAGCGATAACCCGTGACGCGCGTGTGCACGTTACCGTTTAGTTTTCTCGCAACCCTAAAACGGGAAAGCCTGCGTTCGATAGGCGCGCGCGCGCGAAGCGAGGCGAATCGACTCGACTCGACTCGACTCGACTCGGCTCGGCTCCTGTGTACGCGTCGTCACAGTTCTCGTCCGGAGAGTGGTCCGTGATTTCGCACCCTCGCCGAGAGAGCCGCCTGCAAGAGCGTGAGACGATTTATCGAGCTATATGACTCGCGCGCGAGAGAGAGAGGGGTTGCAGACCGCCGCGGGGCTGTCTCTCCTTCTCCCGGCCCCGCTACGTGCCACTTTCTCCCCCGCGTCTCCGCTCGGACACGCTCGCGCGCTCCCCCTTTGTACTCGTCACTGTGTCAGCCCGCCCGCGCCCCTCCCCGCGGCCGTATTCATCGGCACGACGACGTTGTCATCTCATCGTCCGAGTAGTATCGGGCACACGTTTCGCCCAGCGGTCCTCGGCTAGAACAGGTGGTGTCTGTGTGTGTGCGTGCGTGGCGAGTGACGGAACCGAGAGTAAAACCCCTAGAACCGAGAAAGAGAGAGCGAGAGAGAGAGAGAGAGGAAAGATAGAGATAGAAATAGCAAAAGAAAGAGAGAGAGAGAGAGAGAGAGAGAGAGACAGAAAGGAAGAGAGAAAAAGAGAGTCAACCCAAAGAATTATTCCCCGTGCGAAACAACCCCGTTTCGAACGAGCCCCTGCGTGCCCGTGTCAGTGTGCACGATGAGAATCGCCGTAGGATCGCGTGTCGCCGAAACAACGCAGGAGTCGTCGCAAGACAGGCCGGACTAGGCCCCTGGCGATCCACCACCGTCTCGACACCGGAGGCGGAACGCGCGTCGCGTCGCAGCGGCGTCATCGACGAGAAAAGCCGAGAGAGCCTATATACCGTGCCCGCGCGACACACATTCGGCCGCGCTCAGTCGATAGCTCGGAAACACCGCATCATCCCGTTCTTCGGAAATTTCGAGGTAGCCCTCGGGAGACGGCGACGGGGTATACGATGTCTAGGCTGAGACGATCGTCCCCGGGGCTCCGTTTGCGGCCTGGGGAGCAACATCAGAAGAAGCAGCAGCACCAGCAGCAGCAGCAGCAACAGCAGCAGCAACAGCAGCTGGCGGAGGGCGCGGGTCCCGCGGGCCCAGTCGCGTGAGTCCCGCCGATGCTCGGGCCGCAGACCTTCGATGAGCCGAGGACCCACAGATCCCAATGATACCTTCGCAAGGAGGCGGCCGCGAGGGATGCTCTCCGGGCGACGGCTCCGAGGACAATGGCTTCGCTAATCGGCCTCGAGTGGCGGGCCTGTACGCGAGCCGCCTCTCCAGAGAAGAGCAGCTCGTTCACAGGGGTGCTCGATCGCCCCGCGACGTCGGCAGCCAGCGGAGCTTGAACCTGCCGGCAGCGGCCGTCGCCGAGGAGTTCGAGCTTTCCGACCGGCAACGGATCGGCCTCTCGCGGACGCCCCAGCCGACGAGAAGAGGGGAGCCTGCCGGGGCCAGGTACGAGTTCGCTAGACGGGACGGATCCCAGCGGACCAGGGACCAGTGGAGCGAGCCGTTCGCCCCTGGCGACAGGCAACCATGGGGCGCCGATGCGCCGCCGTCCTGCGGCAGGAAGGCGTCCGCCTCGATCCTTATCTCGCCGGCCAGCGAAACCGGCGCCAATCAAGATGGTGACAAGGCCTCGCCGCCGGGGTTCTCGGGCCTCAGTCCCCCCGAATACCCGGGCCACGAATCCGACGGCTGCGAAACACCCTCCCCAATATTCGCCAGCTACCCGCTGGCTTCCTACGCCGAGGAAACCCGTCGCGGATTCGCCGCTCACGACGACAGCCGACCGACCGACGAGAGAGCACCGCCGGTTGCCGACGCCAGGCGCATTACCCCCTCCAGGGACCCGGCGGACCCCGTCGCGATCGCGGAGNCGCTACGTGCCACTTTCTCCCCCGCGTCTCCGCTCGGACACGCTCGCGCGCTCCCCCTTTGTACTCGTCACTGTGTCAGCCCGCCCGCGCCCCTCCCCGCGGCCGTATTCATCGGCACGACGACGTTGTCATCTCATCGTCCGAGTAGTATCGGGCACACGTTTCGCCCAGCGGTCCTCGGCTAGAACAGGTGGTGTCTGTGTGTGTGCGTGCGTGGCGAGTGACGGAACCGAGAGTAAAACCCCTAGAACCGAGAAAGAGAGAGCGAGAGAGAGAGAGAGAGGAAAGATAGAGATAGAAATAGCAAAAGAAAGAGAGAGAGAGAGAGAGAGAGAGAGAGACAGAAAGGAAGAGAGAAAAAGAGAGTCAACCCAAAGAATTATTCCCCGTGCGAAACAACCCCGTTTCGAACGAGCCCCTGCGTGCCCGTGTCAGTGTGCACGATGAGAATCGCCGTAGGATCGCGTGTCGCCGAAACAACGCAGGAGTCGTCGCAAGACAGGCCGGACTAGGCCCCTGGCGATCCACCACCGTCTCGACACCGGAGGCGGAACGCGCGTCGCGTCGCAGCGGCGTCATCGACGAGAAAAGCCGAGAGAGCCTATATACCGTGCCCGCGCGACACACATTCGGCCGCGCTCAGTCGATAGCTCGGAAACACCGCATCATCCCGTTCTTCGGAAATTTCGAGGTAGCCCTCGGGAGACGGCGACGGGGTATACGATGTCTAGGCTGAGACGATCGTCCCCGGGGCTCCGTTTGCGGCCTGGGGAGCAACATCAGAAGAAGCAGCAGCACCAGCAGCAGCAGCAGCAACAGCAGCAGCAACAGCAGCTGGCGGAGGGCGCGGGTCCCGCGGGCCCAGTCGCGTGAGTCCCGCCGATGCTCGGGCCGCAGACCTTCGATGAGCCGAGGACCCACAGATCCCAATGATACCTTCGCAAGGAGGCGGCCGCGAGGGATGCTCTCCGGGCGACGGCTCCGAGGACAATGGCTTCGCTAATCGGCCTCGAGTGGCGGGCCTGTACGCGAGCCGCCTCTCCAGAGAAGAGCAGCTCGTTCACAGGGGTGCTCGATCGCCCCGCGACGTCGGCAGCCAGCGGAGCTTGAACCTGCCGGCAGCGGCCGTCGCCGAGGAGTTCGAGCTTTCCGACCGGCAACGGATCGGCCTCTCGCGGACGCCCCAGCCGACGAGAAGAGGGGAGCCTGCCGGGGCCAGGTACGAGTTCGCTAGACGGGACGGATCCCAGCGGACCAGGGACCAGTGGAGCGAGCCGTTCGCCCCTGGCGACAGGCAACCATGGGGCGCCGATGCGCCGCCGTCCTGCGGCAGGAAGGCGTCCGCCTCGATCCTTATCTCGCCGGCCAGCGAAACCGGCGCCAATCAAGATGGTGACAAGGCCTCGCCGCCGGGGTTCTCGGGCCTCAGTCCCCCCGAATACCCGGGCCACGAATCCGACGGCTGCGAAACACCCTCCCCAATATTCGCCAGCTACCCGCTGGCTTCCTACGCCGAGGAAACCCGTCGCGGATTCGCCGCTCACGACGACAGCCGACCGACCGACGAGAGAGCACCGCCGGTTGCCGACGCCAGGCGCATTACCCCCTCCAGGGACCCGGCGGACCCCGTCGCGATCGCGGAGAGGGGGGAGACTACCAGAGCCAGGGACGTAGCGAGGCTCAGGCCCCCCTTGACCGCGGTCGCGGGCACCTCGGCCGATTCGGGCACCGGTGATTCCGGCAGTGCCGAGATTCAAGTCGATCCGCTCGGCACGCCACGTGCTAATGTCAACGGAGAATTACCCGAGCCCGGCAGAGGTACTGGCAACGACAATGGCGGCAAAAGCGTGAAAACGCCGACCGGCGGCAAGCAAACTGTGAAACTGTTCACCAAAGAGAGCCTGGATAGGCTGGAGAACAGGACTGTGCAGCTTGTTAGGGACTATGGATTCCAACCGAAGAGGCGGATGTCCGTTGAAGACGGCGCGGTGCTTCCAAACAAATTCGAACCGTTCCCCACCGAGCTCTACGGCAGGCCGCTCGAGGAGATCGACAACTTTATATACGACGAGGTTCGTCCTGGCTTTTTTAATCGATGCCCGGTTCACCGGCTTGATCCCGCTCACACCGAAATAGGTGGCCTGAATCCGATACCCTATTCGGATCGCTTGCAAGCATAATGACGCGGCTATTATTGAGATTTTCGGATTCTTGGGGGCTGGGGATGATGGCGCGTGTCTGGGGGATGGGCTGGTAATCCTTTCTTTGTTGTGGGAGTGGAATCGGAGGGTTCGGTGATTTCGAATTCTAGCGTCACGTTGCCACTGAATAATTCCGGCTCTTTTCAAATCGGGCTTTATTTTTAACTATTCACGAAAACTTGGAAACTTACTACTGACCAAATTGTCCGAGAACATCGAACGAATCGTCCAGATTTGTTCAACGTGAATAAATTATATTACGACGAAATGGATTGATTTTAATGATTATTTTAATAATGGAAAAAGAGTTTCCGATATACAATCGGTAGGAATGTTTAAACTTTTGATAAACGTATGTGTTTTTCTTCTTTTCTTTTTTAAGTCGATGGCTGCCTGCTCATTTTTGTGACCGACTGTACACGCTTTCAGAGACACTGTAGGTTATTCGTGTTTGTTTTAGAGATTATTGGAATATTGCTGTAGAGAGCGGTGTTGTGCATTTTTCGGTTTCTTGTGACACTGCAACCTGAATCGAAGTTAATACGCGTCTGATGGAAGAAACTTCTGGATTATAATGTATCGGCACAGTTAATGGTTCCGTGTAACATTGTGGTCGTGGCTCACGGAATATTCGGTATTTGTAATCTTAGTATTGATCCATACATTATGAATGTCTGGCGTTTTTATTTGAAGGAAATTAACCAATTGTGTCGGCGCTGGTCGAATGCGGGGCGCGAGGCACGTCGTTGAATAGAATTTTTTAGTCTTGAACAATGGGAGAACTTGGATAACACGTGAACATCGATAATTTTGCTGCCGATTTCCACGAAACTTTGCATGCAACGATGTTTCGACGCTGGCGAAAATATTTTACAGAAATTGGAATTAAGATCGAAATAGATGTTCATCGAGGCAGAAGACGTTAAACGAAAATGTTCGTGCCAAAAATAACAATGCCATTTCTCGATAAAATTGTCAAATCTTTCGCTGTCCGTGCCGTGCGTTTTATATTTCGTTTCGCTGTCGCAAACGTTGTTTCGACGAGTCGACGGTATTTTTTCAGTTAATTTATCGAGTCTCCGCGTTGTTTTCAAGGATAACAGCGGGGAAAGGGGACTCTTTTTCTTTTCCGTTCTCCATCGGGAAGAGCGGGTCCCTTCGGCAGGAATTTTTCGCGCTCGTGTTGCCAGAGGAATTTTTGCCGACGAAAAATAAAACAGCGTTCTCACCCTTAATTCACGAAGCCCGATAATCGGAGTTCCGACCCCCGAGGCCCGCAATGCGAACGATTGCGTTTTTAAATCTGTCTTTTCTCAAGTCTCTCACCGCCTGTCGCCGATGTCTGTCTGACCCATCGCGTGCCTATACTACTTAAAACGTTCGCGCGCGCGTTCCTACAAGTGCATCTTTGAGAATTTGTTGCAAGACAACGGACGGAACGTTTTGAACAATTGTTACTGGGATTTTAGATACGATACAATATCTTTTTCTTTTGCAGTGAACTCGCTACAAAAACCACTACCTCGAAAGAGAACTCAACGCTGAATAATTAACAGAATTTCTACCTTTTAATTGGTAACGGAAATTACGTGAAAAAATAATTGATTTCTTTTTATTCCGACACTTTTCTCCGGACGGTCGAAATATGATGCAATAAAGAATAGCTTCCGGTAAAACTGCGGCATTTGCAATTAGCCGTAGGCGAGCCCGACAAGACCGAAAACTTGATTCATTAACCGACGCTGGAATCGACGTTTTATTGCGTCTGGTGCATTTGCATTCGCCGTAAATGCATAAAATCCGCGGTTCCAGTTGTGGACGTGTTTCCCGCGCCAATACTTTCGCGGTCAGCAATATTAGGCCGTGTGCCGGAGCCTGACAACCATGTCCGATAACCGGGATCTAAAATGGCTGCTGAAATTGGCACAGAAATAAGACGAGTTTGTTTTAAAATATTGTCCGCCGTTGCGCGGTTCGATTCGAAGGAACCGTTCGATGTGCGGAGAGGCGGCCCTCTCGGGTCCACCCACGCGAATTTCATTTCTATTTCGTTCCGCCATTCTTCCGAAACATCGGAGCGCGATAATTAGAACGGTATCGCGGAAAAATATCATTGAGAAATCAATTTCACGTCTGCATGGACACTTTATTTGCACTTTCGCGCCAGCTGTGTACGGTAGCTACGGGTAAAATCGATGTCCGGGGGTGATTCTCCATGAAAAACTGGGGCGAAAAGTTAGAGGCAACAATTTTCCAAACAAGCCTTCGTTTTCGAGGAGACAAATTCCGAATGTTCGGTCGACGCGACGAGTGAAAATAATGGCAACCGGCGCGCGTCTTTAACGTCGATTATCTCGAAAACGGGCGGTCGTATCGACAAGTTTCGCCGCTCGTTTTCCACGTATTTTTTCACGCAGATACCGTGTACAATAGTAATTACCGGGTTCGCGAAGCGTTAAGTCATTAGCGAGCAGTTCCAGCAGCGAAAGACCGTCGACAACGCGCTAAATAATTTTCAGCTTTGCTTTTCCCTCGTTTCGCGTTGCCAAAGAAAAATTTCGGGAACGATGCGATGGCGAGCCGGCGGGCCGATCTACCAACCAGGCTTTTTATTAATCATCAATCGCGGCCTTGACACCGAGTGGCAAGCGTCATCGTGCGAATTTTTTGTTTGGTCCCGCGGCAGGGCTGTTAAATGGACCCTAATCCGGCAAATAATTTTCGGAGGAGCAGTGCCGCGCTCGAGTTCTCTCAAAAGAAATTAATCTCGCCAACGCTGAATATACTTCGATTATTTCTGAATTAACAAACAGTAAGATTTATCGCAATCAAAAGAGATCGCTGGATAATTCGACAAATGTTTTTACGACGACGGAGAACGCGGCGAATTCGCGAAATTTCATTGTTCCCGTCACGTGACCAACTAAACGCGCTCTAAATACTTTTCGAGAGAACTAACAGAGACCCGATGGTACTTGTTTCTTTTTGTTCCAGACGTTTTGCGTGGTCTCGAAGAGATTTCGTAAGAACTACATCCATAGGTTCACAGCGACGAACAGCTGGTTCATATTCTCACCGTGGAATCCTATAAGACGGTATTGTATCTTCCTAAGTACGAATCAGTACTTCGATTACATGGTCATGGCTACGATAATATTAAATTGTGCCTTCCTCGCCATGACGGAAACCATCGAGGAAGCAGAGTAAGCTCAATCAACGGTTCAATCTAATTAGACAAACACCGTCCGCCCACGAGCAGCCGGACACTACGGCGATTTTTCAATAGAATCATCTTAATTAACAGCTAATCTTTTTGTTAATTCACTAATGAATCAACAGATGTTAGTAGTTGCACCGTTATCAGGACATTATCGAAATGCATGCTATCGGAACGTTCTATCGCCGGAATGCTCCATTATCCGAACAGTTCATTTCTGGCTAAATTGTAGTTTACGCAGTGTGCTGTGTAATTATAGATCGCAATCGGCCGACTGCGGATCTTTATGCATTTGTGGCACGTGCAGATCTGTAAAATAGAGGGAAACGTCTGTATTAACAACAATGAATGATGTGTCAGCGAAAACGAATGAACAGAATCATCTAGATATGTATGCAAACTCGAACAGAAATTTTGGAAATTTGTCTCGGTGTGGCTAGGCGCGAAACCGTTGTGAGAAAAACAGAAACGTGTTCTTCGGTCTACGTTTGAACTGAGAAATGTATTTTACGCGGCCCTTACTTTCGTCACCTTCAAATTTTGAACCTGGATTCGTCATCCGAACCAATGTGCGACCTTTATCCGATTTGTTCACCTTTAGCATTCGTTTTGCCCTACTTATTTCTTCGACTGCGGCTATAGGCTAATCACCTGAACGCCTCATAAGTGGCTTTACCACTCTAATAACTTGTAAACTATACTTCGCCGTTAGGGTGCTTCTGAGCCGATAGTTGCATCAATGCGCCACCGCTTGCGTTCGAGCTGCAATAAAATGGTAATGGAATATCGTACGTGCTAAGAGTTCATTATGAAACAGAAAATTTCGATCTCGCAGAGAGAGAGAAATTATGATGCTTTTTGGGATACTTACAGTCTCCGTAAACCATTGAACGTGTTACTATCTCCGTTTTTTTTGGGGGGGGGGGGCACGTACTTCGGTAGTATTTTAGGAAAATCAATTAGATGCGTTCGAAGCAGAGATTTCGGCCTTTGAAACCAGCTTAGGTACATCGCGATGCAATTTTTTTTCGCAGAGTTACAAAATATCGTGCATCCGCTGCTGATTGAATCTCCGTAGATAAGAGAATGGCAAGTTTCCTCATTACCAAGAAGAGACAACTCATGGCAATGGAAGTAGAGATGCTCCTTAATACGAGCCTAGTCCCTCGAGGCTTTTTCAGCAGCAACAGCACGTTGTTATCTCATTCTCTCATATATTTCTCCGGTCAGATCGAGTTTTCCTTATCAATGCTTAAAGAATTCTTGATCACGGCCACAATAAAATTCCTATTCTCCCTGTTGATGCAGCGAAAACGTCACTTGAACGTTGTAGTCTCGGCGCAGAAAATTCATTTAGTTAGAAAGTCAAGTGCTCGAGGTGCTCGTGGGTGCTGAAGTGGAGCATTATATTTACCGAAGACGGTCGTGGCGACGTGGTTCTCTCTTCTTCGCAGATATATATTCCTAGCTATATACACAGCCGAAATGGTGATCAAATCGATAGCAAAGGGATTCGCGCTGAATAAGTACACGTACCTGCGGAATCCGTGGAACTGGCTGGATTTCGTGGTAATCACCAGCGGGTACGCCACCATAGGCATGGAGGTGGGCAACCTGGCTGGCCTAAGGACATTCCGGGTGCTCAGGGCGCTGAAGACCGTTTCAATTATGCCTGGTAACAAAGTTCATTATAACATCAGCTCATCCCTTTGTTTCGTTTCTAGACGCATTCGTAAACGATAGGGTAACAATAAGACACCTCTATGGGGTTATCGATTTTTACGGCCTAATTTACTGCTGTGCGAACTGGCAAACTACATATACTTGCACGCACTCGGAGTGCATAAAGACAGGCGAAAATAACTGTGAACTATCGCATGCTACGAACTTCGTGTCGCGTCGCTATGAAATCATTTTCCGACTTCGAATCTTCCACAGTGAATTAGATTTCATTTTTAGATTCTCCAACGATCTGAGAACGATTGCTTAGAGAATTAATGCTTTAGCGTCTAGGCGATAGATTTGTTTGTCCGTTAATGTGCTGACTCTGTGTTTTCAGGTTTAAAGACCATCATCAACGCGTTACTACATAGTTTTAAGCAGCTGGCCGAGGTCATGACGCTCACTATCTTCTGCCTGATGGTATTCGCGTTGTTCGCGCTGCAAGTTTATATGGGGGAGCTCCGCAACAAATGTGTAAAGACCATCGAGTTGAATAACACGCAGATCGACTGGAACGAGTACGTATTATCTCATAATGATCCGCTTCCGCCACCGCTAAAATCTTAAGTGGCTCTGCAGGCTTGTAAAGCTCGACCCCACTTGTTTACTCTAAAGGGTGCTTTCTCGATTAATGGTCTATCAATGTCATCCATCCTAGTTCAACACCGGCCTAGCATCCCCCTTAGAAATAAGTACCATTTTCGTCGATAGGTTCTAGAAAAGTCGCATCGAGATCGGCGGATGTCACTTTGCCGCGTCCGCCGTTGCAAAACAGGTTTCCCAAGTGAAGAATACTTGCGGGCCAGGTCCATTAAGCCACTCTTATTTTGACGAGCTCGGTACGTGCTCGGAAACATTGGCACGGGCGATTCTTTGCACCCTGTTGCGACACATTCGTGTGTATCGACCAGGCCATGATAGAGCCCCCGAGTCGAGTCTCTCGAAAGGCATTAACCTTAGACGATACTTTCCGGCGTCCACAGGTGGACTTGGAACTCGTCCAACTGGGCATTCAACGAGGCCGAGGAGCCGATAATTTGCGGCAACGCGACCGGCGCCAGGTTCGCTAAACTTTGTTTGTTATCTCTCACGGTTGCCTCTCGAATGACATCTCGGTTTTAACACGGCGGAACTTTGCCTTCGCAGACACTGCAACGAGAGCTACATCTGCCTTTGCGTTGGCCCGAATCCAAACCACGGCTACACGAACTTCGATAATTTCCTATGGTCCATGCTCACCACGTTTCAGCTAATTACTCTGGATTACTGGGAAGATGTCTACAATAAGGTATCCCATCCGATCCGGGCCAATAAAGAGTCGGCCATCATAAGCACAGATTGTTCTCGTCACACGAATCTGGGATGGACACCTGTAAAAAGTCGTTTAGAATAATATCATTTGCGATCCTTTTGTATCAACGTGTTCTACTTATTGATAGAGATACTAGTAGGGACAACGAATACGTTGTACCATTAATTATTATAGTTATAAACAGTTCTGTAAGCACTTTTCTACCAGTGTCCATCTAAGTGTCCTCCGGTACAGGCGACTATATACCTTCTTAATATCCTACACCGGTGATTAGACATCAACAATCTAACTGTTGCTCTTTTAGAGGATTCTTCAATGAATCTGAATAATGATTGTGCAGGTGTTGTCGGCGTGCGGACCTATCAGCGTCTCGTTCTTCACGGTGGTCGTGTTTTTTGGCTCGTTTTACTTAATTAACTTGATGCTCGCTGTTGTCGCACTGAGTTACGAGGAGGAAGCTGAAATTACAAACGAGGTATTATTAATGATAATTAATAAAACAATTGTCACAAGATTTCGAGACCATTAATATGTCTTTCCAATCGAACATTCTGAACTAACCAATAGCCTAACCTACTAAAATTGGCAATAAATGTTGACCCATACACTTTGCTACTTCGCTGCGGGCAGACTTTTGCGGCCGACTGTACCTGCCTGTTTCTACATGAAAAAACAAATCCAAAATGCCGGATAAAATTGTTTCACAGCCCGAATAAAGGAAATCGTGTAAGGGAGTCAAGAGCGGCCTTGAACTAAATTAAACCGAGCCGTTCGATAGCTTCCTGAGAAGAAACACTTTTTATCAAATTTCAACCCTTTGCCTCGCGATTGGAAAGGGTGGATACAGAGAGAAAAATCGAATTATCGGACTCCGGTCTATTTTCTCCGCTGAATTGCACGCGAAAAAATTCTAGAAACTAAATCTGGCACGTTGCCGAGTTCAATAAATTTGTCGGTCGTGCACTCTAGTTCCAATCAAATGCCCCGTGCCAACCGTACAATATTTTAATAAATTGCCATCTGGTGTCGACAGGAACGAAGAAAAGATTTAACCGACCATCGCGAGGACTCGACGTTTAGTTTCGACCCGACAAAAATCAACGTGAAGACGCTTGCCAAGGAGAAACAGAAAAAGTTGGATGCCAGAAAAGGCGTTCTGTTAAGCAGCTATACGCGAAAAAAGACGAGAAGAAGAAGACGTGGAAGAAGCAATGCTGGCACTGGCGTTGCCGGGCAAGAGAAATCTGGTTCTATAATAAGCAGGTGTGTGCAGATTAAAATATGCATTTAGTCGGCAACTACGCGTGCCAGTAATATACATATTCAGGTCACTGACCGTGGTTCCAATTATCCTCATTAGAGAGCTTCCGCATAGGTCAGTGACCACAATCCGCATCTCCTATAAGTCACTGACCATAATCTAATCGCTCAGCTAGGACGATAGACACTGATAACAACGGCGATATTCAGCGAAACTGAATAGTCGTTTTCACCATTTTCGTTAATGCAGATCGGTGACACCAAGCCCGAGTCCAAGTCCGAGACATTCCAGCGTTCGACCGTCCCACCTGCTCTTGCAGAATGTCAGCCCGCGGACGGCGGAGAACAGCACGGTCCACAGGCTAGCCCCGAACCGGGGGATGCTGCACTCGAGGCAGGCTAGCAACAACAGCAACCAGCAGTCGTCGTTGGACGACTCAGGGGTGGTCGACGACCATGACGCCGACGACGTCACGTCGGTGGAGGAGCACGACAGGCGTGACCATAGGGAGAGGGCCGAGTGGCAGGACAAGGGGGCCAGCAACAGCAACGCCGATGTGAACGTCGAGCACGAGCATGGCCGATCTAGAGGACGGATCGACAACGACACCGAGGCCGACGCTGAGAGCGAACGAGATAAACCACTGCCGACCCGTTCCGGATACCTACGAGCTGCCACGAACGTTCCCGGCGGTCCCGGGACCACTAGAGAGATCAAGGTGTTCAAATGTAACGGCGTCAAAACGAAAAAGCAGATGTACACCTTCCCGCCCGGATATCTGTCGCATATTGTTATACTAGGTGAGCCTGCGAAAGAAATTCATATCGGTAACATATACCAAAAATGTTTCGGATACTGTAATTTATAGTATAAATTACATACCCTGTCCAATATATAAATTAAGCGTGTAATCCTTGTGTGCTTGCGCACAGATTAATACCTTTCAATTTTCTTTATACGCAGATGATCTTCCGGATCGAAACTGCGAGAAGTGCATACAGTGCTGCGTCGATTATGAAGGCTGGCTACGATTTCAGAACTGCCTGTACAAGGTAGGTACCGAGGAAGTAAACGCGAGATCCAAAGTACTGCATGCTCCGTACGACTGCAATCGTCCATAATTGTTATATCCCTAACACGAGAAGGGACGCATACTAAAAAGCGTAGAATGTAAAAAGTACCTTACGCAGTCCTACTTGCTGATCGATGTCAGGCTGCAAAATTCAATTCTCTGAAGTATTCACGACTGACAAGTGGCTCTAATCCAGGTAGTGAGAGACCCGCTGTTCGAGCTGACGATCACACTGTGCATCGTGCTGAACACCGGTTTCCTGGCGATGGAGCACCACGGGATGAGCGAGTCGATCCGGCAGGCTCTAAACATCGGTAATAAAGTGTTTACCAGTATCTTCACCTTCGAATGCTTGCTGAAGCTGTTGGCGCTGAGCAAAGACTTCTTCACCAACGGTTGGAACAATTTCGACTTGATAATAGTGTCAGCGTCTCTGATAGATCTGACCTTCGAGCTGGTAGACGGCCTCTCCGTGATACGGGGATTAAGGCTATTACGAGTCTTAAAGCTGGCGCAGTCCTGGACGACGATGAAGGTGCTCCTGAGCATAATCATCTCGACGATCGGCGCCCTCGGTAATCTGACCTTGGTCCTGGTGATCGTGATATACATATTCGCCGTGATCGGCATGCAACTGTTCAGCAAAGACTACACGCTGGACAAGTTCCATCCCGACCCGGTGCCGCGGTGGAACTTCAACGATTTCTTCCACTCGTTCATGATGATCTTCCGCATACTATGCGGCGAGTGGATCGAGCCTCTGTGGGACTGCATGCGTGCCGAGCAGGAGGACGGGCCAGGCGCCTGTTTCGCCATCTTCCTGCCTGCGTTGGTGATGGGCAATTTCATGGTGCTCAACCTCTTCTTGGCGTTGTTGCTCAACAGCTTCAACTCGGAGGAGTTGAAACAGAAGAAGGAGGAGGTCGGCGAGGACTCGAAACTGGCCAGGTCGTTCGACCGGCTGCGCTCGATCATCAGAAAGAAGAAGTGCTCGAGGATGGGCCAGGGCAAGGGGAAAGGCAAGGACCCCAGGCTAGAGAAGATCGTGCGCCAGGTGATGGACAGATCCGACAGCGAGACCAAGTACGCCATTCAGGAGACGGTGCTCAGCCTGCCGAAGGACAACGTGTACAACAGATCTTACCAGGAGAGCTTGAACCAACCGGTGTTCACCTACGATCCCATGTACGGCCAGCAGGAGCACAAGCAGGAGTGGGAAGAGCAAGAAGAGGGCAAGGACGATGAGTCGCACTGCGAGGAGGTCGGCGATGAAGAGAAGCAGCCCGAGACAAAAGAGGAGAACACGGAGAAGGCCAAAGATGAGGATCAGGCGAAGTACTCGTCGGGCAAAACGTCAGAGGAGAGGACGGCTATGTTACATCAGGAAGAGACCACCACTAAGCGGGAGGAACGGGTACCCAAACGACCATGGCACGCATTGGTCAGCTATGTTGACGAACTGACGGTCGGAGGGAGGAGGGACAGCAAAGGGAAATATTTAGATGGTTTGGGCTCCTTCCCAGGGTTCGGCAGGCACAACCGCAGAAAGGAACCCATGGACTGTTTCCCCAAGCAGTGCTATCAGAAGTAAGGATTTTGGAATTGGCATTGTGCTATGAGGTCTCCTGTAACCGTGAAGGTTAGGTAGGCTGTAGCAGCGGTAATAAAACCACGCTCCTCGAGAACACTTTGCATAGGAGGGTGGAAAAGCCTCGCCCTCCCGAATCACTACACAGAAGTCTCTTAACAGAACCACGCCCCTTCGGGTCATCCTATACATCGATAGAGATACCTTTTTAGGACACTCTACAAGAAAACGAGGACACGCCTATTGTATATAGAAAGATCAACGGAGCCGCGCTCCTCGAGAACAATCTGAACAGGAGGGTAGCTAAACCACGCCCTATCAAATCGCAAAACAGAGCCACGCCCCCCTCAGGCCATCCTATGTATCAACCGTACATACACACTACAAAAGGAGCTTCCCAAACCCTTAAAATCGACAATCAGTCCCTATAGCTCATATGTGGCGTATCCGAGCCGTTCATAATCACTCAGCTAGATCTTAGACAAGCGTATATATCGACCGGTGGCGGGATCGCAATAATGTGTCTGTTGTTGTTTGTGTGCAGATGCAGTTGCATCGATCGATGCGTCGCGACCGCCATTGGGAGAAAGTGGATCCGCCTACGCACCGTGGTGCTCTCGGTGGTCGACACGCCGGCGTTCGAATGGATGATCTTAGTTTTAATTTTCGCATCTTCCATAACGCTCTGTTTCGAAGACATTTACTTAGATGACAATCCTTTTTTGAAGAAAATACTCTATTGGACCAATCTTGGCTTCTGTGCCCTTTTCAGTATCGAGATGCTACTCAAGTGGCTGGCCCTCGGCTTCTGCAAGTACTTCACCAGCTTCTGGACGATCCTGGACTTTATAATCGTCTTCGTAAGTAGAAACACGAGCCCGCCATCAGATTGGCATTGTTCGTACGCGCGTAAGTGGCTGGTTGCGCGGCTGGCTGTGTGAACGCTGTTGTCGCGTTCATCGTCGCTGCATGGATTCTTTTTCTCTCACTCTTCTTATCATTCATTTTTTACCCGTTTCTTTCTGAATTCTTTATATATGTGTCGCGCCTTACGGACTCAGGTACGTGCCAAATCAATTTGTTGCTGCTACTCTGCATCCGAGTCTGCCTAGATCCTTGTCGCACACCTCGGCTCACAAACTTGATCTGAAAAGTGCCTCGCGGCGAATGCCAATAGCAATTCTCGTTCCTGGCCAAGTAACCGCTTTGTTAGAGCCTCCATCAAATATTCAGCCCTCCGAACGACTGCAAATGTTTACCCACGGTGTCCTGACACTGCATAATTTTCAATTATTTTATTTAAACGTTTCTTTGTATCAATAACCAAGGTTATGTCAAGATCATACTATTATATTTTCGGCGTTACCTTCTTCACGATGGCGGAATTGATTGAAGAAATGTTACCGTTGAAAAAATAACCTTGGGATGACCTCCACTTTCATGGCCCTAAAAAATTGAAAATAGATAAACAATTTGGAATCGACGTTCACAGATAGTAGTCGCTGATTCTTTGGTTTGTTAATATGATCAATAAATTATATCCTGTTAATACGTTCGATCATGAGTATTATTTAATTATTGACGGCATTTTGGAAATTTCGTTTACTTTCGAAGTTTTCTCCATTACTCCTTGCACCACTAGCTGAGGGATTGGAACTTGGCACAGATATCTCGATTGGCTTGATTATTAATATACTAGTTATACTAGTTTGAAGCGGATCAATTCGAAAGCATTTTTGAAGATTGAGTCTGGAGATTATTCCTGCGAACAATATAGATGACATAGTGATGACTGTTAGACTGCAGGTCTTCATGCACTTTGTGCACAATCATGAAATGCAATGTACAGTACTGCTTGTATAATCGAAATGTGAATGTATAATGAGAGAAGATTTGTAGTCTAATGATGATTACACTGTCCAACACCGATTTCGCTACTCTATAAATTCTTTATCACCCTAACCGTGAAAGCTATACAAATGTTTTCGCGGTCGAAGCACAAACAATACTGAAACTTGAAAATGCAACTTTTCTGTCCTAATTTAAATGCAAAAGTTTGTTGGACAGAGTTGCGACTTGACACGGAAAGGCTAGCTACAGTGAATGCATCGCGACTCTAATTTTCCACCCACCCGTGTACATATCTCCATCACCTTTTTTTGATTCTCTTACGTTAGCTTGCAAGCCAACCACGATCATTGAACTTAGCCACAAGAAATCTCGTTAATCGCACCGCAGCATGATGCGCTTCCGGAAGTCTAGAGGCAAACCTGCTTTGCCCCGAACGATTGAATATTGCTATCTTCTTCTTTTTTCTTTTCTCGAACAGGTGTCGACCTTTAGTCTATTGATAGAGGAGAATGAGAACTTAAAAGTGTTAAGGTCGCTGAGGACCCTGCGTGCTCTGAGGCCGCTGCGTGCGATCTCCCGGTGGCAAGGCATGAGGGTGAGTCCGTGCTGGTAGAATTCCGTAACCCTGTAGAGATCCCCTAAAAGGCTAGAAGTATTGCTTCTGTTTCTCTTGCTAGATCGTAGTGAACGCGTTGATGTATGCGATACCCAGTATATTCAACGTGCTCCTCGTCTGTCTCGTGTTCTGGCTGATATTTTCTATAATGGGTGTGCAATTTTTCGGCGGGAAATTTTTCAAGTGCATCGACGAATACGGCGAGTTGTTGGACGTGTCGGTAAGTGGTGCTCGATGGTCATAAACGACGGTGCATCTACATTGTGAATTAGGGTGGACCTTAGTCGTACTTGTTGACAAAATATGATAACATATTTGAAAGGTTTAAGATGCTATCTTTCACGTGTGATCGTTGAAGAGATGATCGTAGTGCTAGGATTAGATAGGGTCCACCCTACTGTAGATCCTCAGAGCTAAAACAGAAAATTCGGGGAATGAGAGTCTGACGTATTGAACAATTGACTCTTAGATCGTAAACACGAGAGACGATTGCTTGAGGAAAAATTACTCCTGGGAGAACAGTAAGATCACTTTCGATCACGTCGGGATAGCTTACCTGGCTCTGTTCCAAGTGGCCACTTTCGAGGGCTGGATGGAGGTGATGCAGGACGCGGTGGACGCTAGGGGCGTCGACTTGCAGCCCCAGAGAGAAGCGAACATTTATGCGTATTTCTACTTTGTGATATTCATTGTCTGCGGCTCGTTTTTTACACTGAACCTCTTTATCGGAGTAATTATAGACAACTTTAATATGTTGAAGAAAAAGGTAAGACAGGCGTGATTGGGGATTCAGAAGCGCGTCCCGTGCCGCGATCATAGTCTGCGACACATTGTTGCATGGGTTACTGATAAATTACGCTGTTCCCACAGTGCCTGAAAATATAGTGAAAACAATTGGCATTTTGGAACTTACAGAAATATTTTATAGTTTACTAAATTTTTGAATAACCAATCTGGAACCTCCAAAAATATTTTAGAGCTCGTCAATAAATATTCCTGTAATACTCGTAAAAACTGTAATACTCGTAAAAATACTGTGGAGCTCACCAACTAATTTCCTGCATGAAAAAAGCACAATACAGCAGTAGCAGACTTTGCCACTGTATCAGATTTCAGTATAATAAGCTTATGGAGATGACCGCAGGATTTAGTTAATTCTCTATCTCGGCACAAATGGATGAGGGCTCTCGCTTTCCACTAGTAATTAAGTTTAGACTCTCGAGCATGGTGGTTACCACAATTCTGCAGCGGGCGGTTTTCATATGAAACTGCAAATAAAAAGGAAAATGAATTAATAACAATTAACACGGACAATAACATTCAAAAGTTACAATTTCACGAGAAGCTTTTAGATAAGAAGAAGCTGTGTCGTTTAACGATTTGGTATACTTCTGCCCGTTGCAGAACAATTATTCGAACAGTCTAAACGGGAACTCCGGCGTGGCTTACCAGTGACCCGCGCGGTACGGAACGCAGAGATCACCTAATCGAAAAAACCATTTGACAAAAACCGTTTCTTCTTTCTCCGATTGTTCTGCTTATTTTCCAGTACGAAGGTGGAGTGTTAGAAATGTTTTTGACCGAAAGTCAAAAGCACTACTACACTGCCATGAAAAAGCTCGGCCGTAAAAAGCCGCAAAAGGTGATAAAGCGTCCGATGAATCAGATCCTCGCAATGTTTTACGACCTGTCGAACTCGCGCAGGTAAATCCCCATAAATCAATCTAACATACTGTTTTAAAACGCACACGTCTTACCATACAATGACAAAAGTACAATTATCCTGGCACACCTTGCACCACGACAAAATAAGAGTATATATATAGATAGATAGATAGATAGATATAGATAGATAGAGAAAGAGACAATAATATTTCGGTTGAGATAGAGAGATAAGAGAGAGCCGAGGCGCTGAATACGACTACGATATTTGCAGATTCGAAATAGCAATTTTCATTTTGATATTCCTGAATATGCTGACGATGGGGATCGAGCATTACGATCAGCCGCATCCGATCTTCTTCGTCCTCGAAGTGTCCAACGCGTTTTTCACGACGGTTTTCGGCTTAGAGGCGATCGTCAAGATCATAGGACTCCGTTACCATTATTTCACGGTCCCGTGGAACCTGTTCGACTTCCTGCTGGTACTCGCCTCGATCCTCGGGATTCTAATGGAGGATATCATGGTAGACTTCCCGGTGTCCCCGACGCTCCTGCGAGTAGTCAGAGTGTTCAGAATCGGTCGAATCTTAAGGCTCATCAAAGCTGCGAAGGGAATTCGCAAGCTGCTCTTCGCTCTGGTGGTCAGTCTTCCGGCGCTGTTCAACATTGGCGCGTTGCTGGCCTTGATTACCTTCATTTACGCGATCATTGGCATGTCGGTTTTCGGGCATGTTAGGAAACAGGGGGCTCTTGACGACATGGTGAGTAGCGGATCCCATAGGAAAACGAGAATGGGGTCTTCTTATTTCGGATACGCCTGAAACATTAGGATTTACATTAGCTTTTGATTTCTCCGTTTCGATAGTTTTAATTACAAAAGGGAAGTTAGCTTCCTGGTAAAGTGAGAAGACCCCAGAACGACCTTCCCGCCGGAGCACAATCTTCACAGCTTAGCTCAGCTCGTTCTCCATCCTGTTCTCTGTTCGACCAGGTAAACTTCGAGACTTTCGGTAGAAGCATGCAATTATTATTTCGGTTAATGACGTCTGCCGGTTGGAACGACGTGCTGGAGTCTCTGATGGTACAGCCGCCGGAGTGCGATCCAACCCCTACCAGTCGCCAACTGAACGGAAACTGCGGATACCCTCTTCTGGCGATAACCTATTTCACCTCGTTTATCATAATCAGTTACATGATCGTCATCAACATGTACATCGCTATTATCCTCGAGAACTTCAATCAGGCCCATCAGGAAGAAGAGATCGGCATCGTCGAAGACGATCTAGAGATGTTCTACATCCGGTGGTCCAAGTAACTATCCTTCTACCGGCATCCGTGCCTAAAAAGATAATGTTAGCTGATCCTAATTCTGATGTCAAAAACTGTCAAATCCTAGGTATGATCCGCATGCTACGCAATTCATCAACTTCTCGCAGCTGAGCGACTTCATAGCCAGTCTAGACCCGCCGTTAGGGATATCGAAGCCGAACATGGTCGCGTTGGTCAGCTTCAATCTTCCTATCGCGAAGGGCAACAAGATTCATTGTCTGGACATTCTGCACGCACTTGTCAAGCACGTTCTCGGGCACGTGGAGGAGTCTGATGACTTTCGTAAGCTGCAGGAGCAAATGGACATCAAGTTCAAGAAGCAATTTCCCACTCGCAAAGAGCTGGAAATTGTTTCTTCGACAAGAATGTGGAAACGACAGGACAAAGCGGCCAGATTGATTCAACGCACCATTAGAGAGTTCATAGCGTGAGTAAACGTTTCATATCTAACGCGTTATTACTATCCTGACGAGGTCTTGGCTAGATGGAACAATGCAACGCTAACTTAAGCGTCCGCAGTCGGTCTCGAATGTGGACGCTTACGGGTAACCGCGCTCGTCTCTAAACGCTGGTATCCAATTTCAAAAGAAACCACGATTTTTCAGACATCCCGATAATCTGTAAAAAAAATGTCAGAACATAAGAACTTGCAAAAAGAAATTTGTTTTCATAAAAAAATGCTGGGGTCACCTCGGTATTTTAAACGTTAAAACAAGCTTAATAAGCTGGTATCGGGAGAACGGCAAAATAATTTTGGCCACAGAAAACGGATTCAGAAACCGGTCCGAAGCGATAGGAAGCGGACGCTTAAAGTGTGCACTGCTGGAAAAGAATATATGTTGTCGTTGCAGAGCGAAGAAGGAACGCGAGAGAATGGCCCAGGAAGTGGACTCGCAGACGCAAACGTCGAGCCCCGGTGTTGGGAATGAGGGTAGGGGCGGGGGTGGATGGAGTGGCAAGGTATCGGCTTTCCTACATGTGCACAGAGGCAGCCGAGCCAGCAGCCGCAAGTCCTCGAGGGCCAGCGACGCCAGCGATTTCAGCGAGCTTGGAGCCGCTTCGGCGTGGCTCTTTCCGAATTTGCCTCTGCTGTTGCTCTCCGGCGCCACCGGTACTCATGAGGACTTGCCTCCTCCCGCTCTGACCGTATCCCGTCCCTCGCCGACCACCGAACAACAATCGTTTGCTGGGGCCTCCGCTGCTAGCCCTACATCCTCCGATCTACACACCAGGTTTGCTTCTCATCTTCTTCCTCTCCTTTCTGCTTGTACGCGTGCAAAGTTCCAGAGTTCCAGCTCTTTTCGAAACCCAACCTCCAGCTCGTCGGGCTAAACACGCATGCGCGTTGGGTCTCTGGAAACGCGCGTACTTCACGTTGGGTCTTCGAAAACGCGCGGTTTTAGAAGTGCACGCATGCGTACCAGAGATTGGGTCTCCGATAACGCACGGGTTTCGTCTCTGAACCCTGCGCAAGCACGCGTACTGAATACAGTACATGTTTTTGGGTCATCGGTCCTCCGAAAGTGCGCAAGTTTCGTCTTTTAATCAAGCCTACGCATGTGTAATGGATAGAAAATTTTTGAATTTAGTTCGAAGTCGGTTCGCTTAACGGCGCTTGCGCGCCGGATGCGAAGGGCTTCGTTATAATTCGAAATGGGACCGCTTGGTGGCGCATGCGCATTCTGAAGCGTTTGAAAACGCGCGAGTTTCATTTCTTGATCTCGTGTACGCATGCGTAGCGGAGAAAATTTCAAATTTAGTTCAAAATGGGACCCACTTATTTGCTCATGCACACTGCAGACTCGAGGAACGCGGGTGTTTCAGTTCAATCAACTGAGCAATATAAGATGCAGATTCTTAGAGTAGATTCCGTTTACAGCAGATCATTCGGTGGTCCAACCCTCGGTCGGCAGGACGCTGTCGAGAGTTACCCCGACGAGGAAGTACCAAGTCTTCCTGCGAAGCGCAGATCGCTCCCACCGAGCGCGACGACGCTCTCCCTAAACACGTTGCACCGTGACATCAAAGAAGCATTTAGCAGACGTTGCGGTAGCCTTCGAAAGAAACATCAACCAGCTCCCGAACCAGTTCCGCTGCCAATCGAATCGACCGACGTAAGCATACTCGTCACGGAACCCAGTCCAGAGAACTCAGCGCCGCCGACGAGGCCGGCACTCCTTAGACGACAATCCGCCGCCACGGTCGTTCACGTCCTCGTCCACAGGGAGAGCGAGGAGTACCGAGACACCCAGCCCGACGATACTACCAGTTGATCTTAAATCGTTACGCCCGACATCCTTCCGAAATCATTTTTAACGAGAGGCTGGCCCGAGAGCCACTAGTTTTGTTATAATATCACCTCAAGAGGAAACCCCGACGCTTTTCCGGTTGCTTCTCCTCTCCCCTTTTCTTTGGCACCATTCTTCTTTGCTGACGGTTGCTTCGATGCTTCCGTGGTCTCATAAAAACAGAAATTCTCTGGGCAACTTGTTTCCTATTGGCCGGTTACTCGGTTTTTGTAACTAGGGAGGGTGCTATGTTTCCACATAGCTAGGGAAAATTGTAAATACAACGTACTAGGTTATAACCAATGGACGGGATGAATTCATTCCGAAAATTTCCATTGGTTCGAAGTTTGTGCGCGGTCCTGATAACTTAGTTGCAAAACGATAGGCAGCAAAAAAAGTTAATTATTATTGTTATTAATAGCTAAATATTTTTAGGGTTGTGACAAATGTCTATTAAGAAAGAAAGAAGAATGAGTATACCCGGGTAGCATAGGGTTTTTGCTGTTCCTCGTTTTGCAAGTTACTGGGAGCGAGAAGACTTAGCATGAAATTTTTCGAAAATTGCCCGTTCTGAATGCCATAAGGGTTTTAAAATAAGAGTTATTCATTTAGATATAAAATAATTTTTAGTTCATAACTTTCTGCCACCTTTAGAGTAGTTCCATAACTTCTCATATTTGAGATTTGGATTTTTTTTATTAGATCACGTGAATCATCGTTATTCAAAGATTTTACTATCTAATCATACCATTTTTCAGAAAGTTCTGTCGTTTCTTGTATTCTTATTTAATTCGTAATACAAACAGCGTTTTCACTTATTCTTTTAAATTACTAAGCAAGTTTGAATTGTGCGCACAGCGAATTGTGCGCGCGACGTCTGCGCGAGAATCGACGCGGTTTAATGGCGCCAATTTCAAATTTAAATTTTGATACATGAAATCTTTGATTTTATTATAAAAACATAGATAGCAAAGCTTTCTGAACAAATACATCAACATTTATCTACACACATATTACAAATTGCACACACGGTTGATTCATAATTACTGTTATATAATCACTTTTTTCTCATCATTCTAATGTTATTATTGTCAATTTTAAATATTATTAAAATTTAAAATGGAAGGAATCGTTCTTTTTCGGTTGTGGACCAAAAGATCACGAGACACTGAAATGGTAATTTGAGTTTGTTTTCAACTAGAACTAAGAGGTGAAGGAAACATACAAAGATTAGAGCAAAAAGAAAATACAAAAAGTAAAAAAATCGACATTTAAAAAATATTGAAATTTTCAGCTCTGAAAACGAACTTTTTTTATATTTTTGCTTGTTAGTTTACCAATGCTGTAAATAAATAATTCACATTTAAGTAAATAATTAAGACTTAGTAGACAATCAATTGAGAAATCAATCAATAATCTGATAGACTATTTCTATCAGAATTAGGATGTAATTTTTATTCAATTTGATTTTATTTCTTATTAAAGTATTCTAAGCTCTTTCTATTTTCAATTCTAATCCGAGTATATAAATTATTAACGCAAGTATAAAGCGAAACACAGAACAATCGCATATTTACAGAAACATATGAAAGACCACAATCACAAATACTATACCCACATAATGTAACACGCAAGTAACAATCAAACAATGATTTCAAAAGGAAAGGGAGAGGAGAAAAGAACTGGAAGGGAACAAGGTGAGAAAGAGAGAGAGAGAAAGAGGTAGAGACAAAACCGAGAAAGAGTTACATAGAAAAAGGAACAACGAATTTTGTAGCAATTAGTTAAATTTTTATGGTAACCTTATTGGTCCAATACCTCTCGATGAACTGTTTTGTTGCTAGAGTTCATGATCCTATGGTGATCACATAAATTTATACGAGTGATTGATCCTCGTCCAGCATGTACATAGCAGCAAAACATGCTACCATTTCCTGTGAGTCAAAGGAATATGATCAGACATCCTATCAACAATACGACTCATCGAGGGCATTGTTCATTTACATCAGTGCTGTCCATGGTAGAAACTTACTCGGACTCAACGATCCTCTTTTGTGCTGCGAAATGTGCTTATTACAAGGCGCGATCCACAACACAACATTGCAATTACAGCGTTCACTGTATATATTGAAAAAAAAACAGAGAGTGTAGGAAGCTCGAAAGACTTGCCATGGCCAGCACTGTGCTTACGGTACTTGAGTCCCTGAAATAAGAACACGGAAGTTATTCGGTTAGACTACAAAATAGATTTTCACCTATCCTCTCTCAATTTTCCTTTTCACGGATACGCGTTGCCATTAACACGCCACGACCTCTCGTCGACCTATAGTGCCTATTATTAGTGAAAAAACGATTGCGAATTAATATACGTATACAAAACGACAAAAAAAAAAGAAAGAAAAAGAATATAAACATGTTTACTAGATTTTCACAGTTAAAGAAGAGTATTCGTACGGAGACAGTGTGTACGAGTTGAATTTACATAAATTTTCTCGTTAGAACGTACCGCGTACGTTACTTTTAGAGTTTAGCATTTAAAGCTTGATGCTTGATCAAATCTGTTTTATTCGCGCGTTAAAACTTCGAGGACATAGCATCGAGGAGCACGAGAAAGAATACGATTTAAAAAAAAAAAAGGAAGAAAAGAGAAGCGAATCGAAGGACAACTAAAGAGAAATAAATTTGAATTCAAAGTCGATCCAATTCCGGGAGATTGATCCTTACAAGGCACGCATCGTAAAGCTATGTATCATGTCAATTAAAGGCATATAGATTGGTACTTTATTCATAATGGGTCTAGGATATTACGAGTACTTATTAACTATACCAAAACACAAGAGACTGGACACACGCGGTTCCGCCTACGGCGGAATTCCAAAAAAGAAAATTGTACAATCACGCTCGGACACTCCTCAGGAGTCCGAAATTGTTTAGATTATAATTTTTCAGATAGCGCATTTTTCTGCGTGTCTGTGTGCTTGCGTGCGTGCGTGTGATTAGAGAAAAAAAAATCGATAAAACAACACCTGCTCAAACCTACTCGTATCGAGACACAACACACTTGAATTATTCAAAATAAACCTTCGCAATTTATGGCTTTTCTTTTCCACACTGGCACCCGCAGTCGGTTATTTAATCTGTTCTCGTTTCATATATTTTCCACACTGAAAATGAAAGTGACAATACTTAACACGCATACAAACACATGAAATACACGGTTACCCACAAAATTGAGTACACACACTGTAAATGTCTTGTTTGTTCAGTTAACAGCAGTTTTAAATCATTCGAATTTCAACTATAATCTTTTAAATGGTCTTATGCGACATGGACTTGATAACATAGTAGCTGCTTTGAACAACTTCAATTACACACCAAGATTATCCTTTAAAAGAATATTTCTGAATTAATTATTATCGTTCTTTAAATAGTTGGTAGTTCATTAAAATTGTATACAATGTATACAAAACACTTGATTCATAAAGAAATTGTTAATTGAACAATAAGAGTTTTGTAGTGAACACTGAACTTTGTGAGCAACTGTGTATGCAAATGTATGAAGTTACAAAGGTTTATTGGGGGAGAATGTTGGAAGATAGACGCCCGTTAGTACAGGGTCAATGACAATCGTGAACTCACCAGAGAATAGCTTTTTTTCTCTTCTTCCGCGTTTTTCTTTCTTTTATCTTCAAATAATATACTTATCAATGCTATGTCAGAACAATCGGCATCGATTTGTCCTCGATCAATGATAATTTATCACAATACTCAAATTGTATCCTTGTTAGAGATTCATCGTAGATGAGAAAGTATAAATTTTGTATTTTGACGTCTGACAATGATACTAACAAGACAGAATGTGGATGAAATTCAACAGGAGAAGAAAAGAGAACTGAAAGAGATGGACAAACAGACAGAGCAGAAAATATATTAGCATTGTAATAATTCATCAAATATGGAGGAAAAATTCGAAGAGCAGTAAAACGTTCCTTTAACTTGAACTTGTAAATAGTTTAACAATCCTTGTTAGTCTGCAAGATCGATTGTTTCGTCACGTATACTTACGAACAAAGAGTCGGGCATTGTTCTTCCATATACATATGTATAATTATTCTGTTTGATCGTGTACATTTCAGTAAATTATTATTCTATTATACCACGATATTTCTTCTATGAGTTCATTGACGGTATTTCACAGATACACATTTACAGTCTTTACCTATTCCTTAATCAATGTTTTACATCGAAACTGTAACGCTTGTTCTTTGATCTTTAATCCACACGTTTAGTCAAGTGTATTTTCCGAATAGCAACAATGCTCGATATAGTCTATAAGCTGCTATGAGCAACCATTGAATTTTAAAATACACAATCTAATCAAATCTGATGTTATAATAAAAATGCTAATAATAATAATAAACAAAAGATGAATAATAAGAATGTTAACCCATGTAAGAATGACATTATATAAATATTCCTAAAAAATAAATTCTGGAGTTTATCGATGAAATTAATTCCAACATGTTACTATAAAATTTCCAAGCTCTCTCATCTAACATACATTTATAAAAAATTATTCATGGAGCTTTACACGTGAAAAAACAATTATGCATACATATTACGTATATAGTTATATTATCGTATAATACATAATAATGTATTGTATTATATACAGTATACTACAGTATAATTCATGTTTAAAAACCCTTCATACTTCACTTAGTTGAAACTCTGGTACGTTTGTTCCATGCAAAATTGGTGCCATAACTGCGAGGCTTAGGATTACTGATATTCTTTTTCTGAACATAGTACTCCCATCCCATTTTCTCGCAATGCGCAATTGCTTCTTTTTCCGATACGAATTGCACCTTGAGATTAGACATTGGATCTCCCCTAATTAAAAAAAGGCAAGATTAGTAAATCAACTAAACTGAAAACATAAATATTTGTACTCACGTCGAAGTCCATCCTATGAGTGGATTCTCCCACCGCTCACGCGTTTCAAAATCAATTTCCCACATATGAGTGTTATCTGTCCCTGACTGCATAGCATTCTTTGCCGGACAATAAATACGAACTCTACGATTCTTTATGTGTTCATCTGGGATGCCAGAGATAATTCCAACATCCTCAAGTACTGGTACAGTGATCTTATCTTTCAAAGCTTTTTCATATAATTTTTTCTCATCACTCTCAAACATCTCTTTCATAGTTTTGCCATGAATTTTAGGTTTGTAAATAAGATCTTTACTCGTTTTGGTAGCAAGGTATCTTACTGGTACCCTACAAATTAAATCAAACTTGTCATTTCCATAATATTCATCATAATTGACAGATTTGGCTAACAATGTAAGATTACAAAATCGTACTATAGATTTGAAAACTAGTTTCATAAGAGAAATTTAGGAGACGTCACTTACGCACAAAATTTCCGAATATCACCATTTGTACGCAGAACCGATAGTGAACGAAGTGCCATTTTGTACAATAAAGGTTAACTACATACAAATAATAAGATCACAGTTTCCACCTCGATTGCCTCGCATCAGTTTGACCAGGTCAACACATTTTCTTAGATAAAATTACACACATAAAGACGCATTTGCGCATGCGTTAATCATTTTGTAAATTTAGAAAATTCACTATGAATATATGCATAACAAAATTATAGAGCTATGTTCAGGGAACACAATTTCAATTCGAAAAATCTAGTAATATTTTGGTATTATTTTTAAACTATAAGGATATCAAATTTTCACTGAAAAATACGGGAAGACAATTACTTTCTGATCATACATAAAGTAATATGTTTAATAGCAGTTTTCTTCATAATGTAACTCAATTTTTCTGAAACGATATGGAGGACTGTAAAGGGTATATAGTTCGTGACAGCAAACCCGCATTAAAATCACGTGGTTTTGTTTTGGTAGGTCTGTCTGTAAGGTTAATCATAAACAATATTTAAGAAGCTATTAATCAAAGAGTAATTATTTTTTAATTAAAAATGCCTGTCGATCAAAAACGTATTAATGGCCCAGAGGCGTCGTTTCCTTATCACATTTATTCGGATATCACTGACAGAAATGTCAAAATGAAGCATAACCTTATTGAAAGAAGCGATAAACGCACTGACAACGAACTAAGGAAAATTTGTAAGATTTTACACGATACCAATCTTCTAATCTATTATCAAACTTAAATTGTTAATCTAGTTATTATATTGATAAATTCTCTGTTATATTTACAGTTTTGAAAACTGGTGTTATTAGCCAAGCCAAAGGTTCTGCATACATAGAAATGGGAAACACAAAAGTTGTCTGCTCAGTATTCGACCCGAGAGAGGTACCAAACAAAAGTGGCTACTGTGTACAAGGAGAAATCTATTGCGAATTTAAGTTTGCTTCATTTTCATGTGAAAAGCGTAGAATGCATCAACAGAGTGCAGATGAAAAACATTATAGTCTAATCATGCAAAAGGCATTGGAACCAGCAGTCTGCTTAGTAAGTACAATCATAAGTATTTATCATAATTCTATGCTCCATATCATTTTCCACGTATAATTAATATTTTTGCAGCATGAGTTTCCTAATTTTCAAGTAGATGTGTATGCAATGGTCTTAGATAATGCTGGATCTTCATTGGCAGCAGCAATCATGGCAGCTAGCATTGCCTTAGCGAATGCAGGTGTTCCTATGTTTGGCTTAGTTACAGCTTCTACTATGGTAAGTGGAATTAAATATAAGTGGAATTAAATAAGAGATATTGTTTTCTGATAAATTAATGGAATTAACATGCAGGGTATTTATGGCAACAAGTTCTTAGTAGATCCCACGGATATGGAAGAAGTATTGTGTAATACACATCCAGATCAAGAAGATGATTTTAATCATGGGATAGTAACACTTGCTAGTCTTCCTCAACATGGTCAAATTTCAGAGGTATTTTTAGTTGGAAATATTGATACAGACTCAGTTATACATACAACTGACATTCTGACAGAAATCAATAAAGACATCTGCCCTGTGCTGCAACAGTGTTTAGTTAAAACTATTATGAAATTGCATAGCAATTAAAACAATGTACAATTTTTAATGCAATTAAATATATATTTTCACAATAGAAAATTTGTATAATTTTCGTATTTATATATAATCCACGTCTTCTTACAATAACTATTCCATATACAATGTATCAAAATGCAGTTGAAATTTTTTACAAACTCGACGAGCTGCCTAAAGTTTTATATGTATGTAAAGTATTAACAATTTCCAGCAACGTAAAAAATAATTGGTTACACTTGGCATTCTCTAAGGAAGAACTAATTCTACGTTCATAATCTTTAAGTTATATAAATATAGATAAGTTAAGAACAAATTTAAAAAAATTGACTATCTCTCGATCAAGGCACTGCACTATATCGAGAAGACACTTCAGTGATCTTTCCATAAAAGAAAAGTTATTTGGATAATTCATGTAGTTGTTTCATAAAAAACTTTAATATGATTTTCGGGATTTACACTATAGAAACTGATAGAACTGTTCTCTGCTGCTTTCAAAGGCAAAACTAGACTTTTTCGTTGAAAGGCGTAACATTAACATATAAAATCAAATCACTGTTTCTTAAAGCTCTTCAGGATCGGGTAGATGTTATCAAATGCTTCGTAAATTTCTTGTCGAACTTTCGCCCCTGTTTGAATATCGATTTGTTAAATTACATTCGCAAAATGATATTTTATGCTAAATACTTACCAGTTAAGACCACTTTTCCTGAGACAAAAATGAGTAATACGATTCTAGGTTTGACCATTCGATATATTAATCCAGGAAAGAGTTCTGGCTCATATGAGGAGAATTGTCCATGAGTGAGCACCAAGCCTTCTAATCTAATTGGAAACTTCACGTCACAACTGCCCACCATATTTTGTATTTTAAAATCTAGGAACTTTGCCTTCATGCAGAATAAATCGTATTAATTGTCATTGTTTAGAAACAATAAAAAATAATAATCAAATATGTACTAACAGGAAATCCAAGCTTCTGAATAATCCTTGCATACTTTCTTGCAGCTAGCCGTGAGTCTTCTTCACTTTTTGCTCCTGTACAAACCATTTTCCCACTACTGAATATCAAGGCAGTAGTTCTTGGCTCTCTTATCCTCATAATAACTGCAGCAAATCTCTTTGGATTATATTCTGCATTTCTTGCATGGAGAGCTATTTTTTTCAAATCTAACTTGCAATTTAAATTAACTGTAGAAACGATATTCCTGCAATTAAACATTAAATGTGATATATCTATTATTATTCATTATAAGTGAAGTTTTTACTCACTGTAGCTGTGGTAAAATTCCTGGATCAGCAGAAGCTGGCGTCATTGGCGTCATAGGACCTGGAGTGGATGGTCCTATTGACGAAGGTGCAATGTGATTGTTATTTTGTACTAATGGAGACATCATGTTTTGCTGGAACATAATAATTCTTTTTTAAAGTAATATTATTACAGCAAACAAATTCAATATTATATTTAATGTTACCGGTGTTTGTGGCTGCATAAGACTCTGTGGCGTTGCAAAAGTGGGTGCAGTTGCATAAGCATGCATTGTTTTTTGAGGCGTTCCGATCATTAGCATACCGCTCTGCATATTTGGACTCATAGTATGTAATTGTTGTAGTTGATATTGTTGTTGTTGTTGCTGAGGTTGTTGCTGTTGTTGTTGTTGTTGCAAGGCATTAGGCAGGATTTGTTGATCCTCCTCTGGTTGATGCAGTGGAGTGCCTATGCTGGGTATACTAAACCCTGGACTCGGTAGCATCTGATCCATTTTCTTCGCTGTCTTTGTACAACACTTGATACAAAAATGTCCTTGACTCGGATGATCTCTACATTAATTTGTTAACCGAAAAATCTTTCAGCATCTGTGGGTTTGAAGAAGAGTTTCATACTCTCGGTAGTACCCATGTTTCAAAAAATAACACTGCATCATATTATAGGTTAGAATTTATACGTTAACGAAACTTTTCTTATAATTATTGAAAATGGAAATACTATGCTATTTATGGTAAATTAAATTTGAGAAATTATAAATGTGCAACAGCTTTTGTTTCTATTTTTTCGCCATCACCTTCCGCTTGTTTGTTTACAAGTTTGCTTTGAAAACGGCCATAAATTTGCAAATTGTAGTGAGGCGAGCGCGTTGTACAATAGGCATAAAATACTGAAGTTTGGGAGAAGCGAAACCCACAGTTCTTTCGATAACCAATTTCCAGGTCGCAAGTTGATCCATAATGAACATAGTTTCAGAACTCTGTTGATTCAAGTGCGTTTAATATTTTAAAAATATTCGAAGTAAATATACATTGTATTTAAATGTTTACAAGAGCTCGAGTTTAACTATTATAATTAAACTAGAACAAAACTCTTAAATTTGAAAATGTTAATCTAAAATAAATAGTTTTTACAGTATATTTTCCTTCAAACAAGACGAAAGTAATTTCTTTGGTCCATTTCGAAGATTTTCAACATCATATTGAAGCAAATGTTTCTGTTGCATCTGATTGTGAAGAACTCTTTCAAGTATGGATATATCTGTCTGATGTTGAAGTTCCACTTTTAACATATCCTCCTAAAATGAGAAAGTATCGTCGAATATTACTTAATTATATAATAATTAACAATATCACAATAACATAATACTTGCTTCTGAAACTGGTACTTGTTCTAACATCTTCTTCAGTTTAATCTTCTCTTTTTCTAATATTGTTAACAGACTTATCTTTTCAGTATTGTTTCGAATTAAATTCGCTAAAATAATAAGGCCTTCATTGCACTCTCTTTTTACGTCTGTAAAAGTAAAAATGGAATATTACTTAATCTACTTCCATTAAATTAGTTGTATAAAATTTTGAAAGCTTCAACTTGCTCTTCAAGTCCACAGAAAAAGTTTTCATAATTTTTCGCATATCTGTTTTAGTTTCATAAATCATTCTCTGTAAAATAGTCTCATACAGACTTAGCAGAGACACTTTTCGACCAAATTTTTGAATCATTTTTTCTTTGATTTCTAATTCTAAACTCTTATTTTGCGTTTCCATATATTTCAAATCTAATTTTATCCTTTTAAGGTGTGTCTCATTTTTCCTATAAACAATAAATAATTATTTTTAATTAATTACTTTTTAGTTAATTACTTCACATACAACTTTAACTTACTTTCTTTTATCTATTAAATCCAAAGTTTGCTTTTGTAGTTCTCCTACTCTAGCATACAGACTTGATAATTCCTTTTTATTAAAAACTACACAATCCTGAATCTCTGTGACATTTCCAGAATTTGATATGTTTTGCATTTGGTGCATGTTTAGTATAACTGTGACATCGACATCATTTAACTTCTTTTGTTTTTCCACCTAATTAATGTTGAAATAACTCAATTAATAAGCCATTCCAGTTATTTCAAAGAGTGATATATATATATATATATATATCAAATATTTTATAATACTATGAAAGCTTCCAGATCCTCTTGATTACTCTTTAAATTATTCTCAACAATTTTCAAGCTCTTTGTTTCTAGGTCTAATTCTTTATATAACAACTCGATCTCTCTCTGCTCCTCTTTAATTTGCAATTCATGTTCATATCGCTGTGCCCTCATAGTAAATGCCATTTCATACAACTGTTTATCACAACCTGGTGGACAAATATTTTCATCGAACAAAACCTGACCAGCCTCAGAATCTACTGTACTATCAGTTTCATCACTGCTAGTCTCCGACGATTGTGTAGTGTCCTCAGATTCTGAAATTCATAATAATTATAATAATATAATAATAATAAGAAGAAAGAAAGAGAAACGAAAGAGATAATTAAGAAAGAGGAAATCGGTACCGTCTCTTTCCCTCGCAGCTGTGTATTTTTTCTTGAATATTTTCTGTAGGAAGTCTTGGAACTTGCTTCCAACAATAGCTTTCGCAAATTCAGCAGTAAGATCCTTAATCTTCACGTGCAACTTTCGAATCTCCTCTTCCCTAATCGAGATTCTGCCGTTTGTATTCTGCATCTATTCAAGCAATATTATATCAATAAATTCGTATACTTATCTTTATAGTGATAGTACCTTCGACATTAGTGTAGCTCGCTCATTAGACTTCAAATTGACTTTATCTTCGAGAACAAATTCTGTTGCTTCACACTCCCTAAGAATGATAAATTCTTCATAAAGCGTCAACAAATGCAAGTTCATATAAGTGCTCTGGTATATAACATCAAGCCTATATTCTTCCAATTCGTCCAATTCGTGTTCTATTTGCTTATAACTCTCTTCGATATGTCGCAAAATGCAATCCTGTTCATATAGCTTACGCCACATCCTTGTGCGCTTCATTTCTTTTTCCCATAACGTCTGAACAGCATCGCTTATATTCAAATTCCGTATTAAATCAATATGTGTGGACACTTGACCTTTCATTTTCATCTTTGATGATGACAGAATGGTGGAAAAACTTTCAATCTCATCTGTTGTGGTTGTTTTCTCATCGCAAAGCAACACTTCATACTCCAAGTCGTACTTATCCACTGGTACATCTATGCTCTGAGACTGCCTCTGTCGTTTCATTTGTTGCACTTGTTCTGTCATTGATACATACTTCTCGAGCTAAAAAAATGATATTGGAAGCAGATAAATTATTCATAGTTCAGTATGATCATAAACAGCAATAGTATTAACTGACGTTAAGCTTCAGTTCAGGAAATTCAGTATCAACATTTAATATTGGTACATGCGGCATAGGTTTTACACTTTTATTAGGAATTTCTGCTTGTATTTTTCTCAGCATCTGTATTAATGCAAGGACTTCTGATTGTAGTTTTTGCTTCTTCAATCTGATTTCGTTCAACTTTCCATTGAAGTCTTCTCGCAGGTAATGAAGCTATAAAGGATAATTTACTTGCATGTTAATTGCTGCATGTTACAAATTCTCCGATTTGTACCTTACGCCTGCAATCTAGAAGCTGCTTGTACTTCAATACAGTTGTCTGTTTCTTCATTTTAATATTAAAACCTGTGCTTGTCTTTAGATTATATTCACCAATGTCTTTCTCTGTTTTTTCAATGAAGACTGCATCCTCCATACGACTTTTGGCTAAATTTGGCTTCCTCGAATATAATCTTTGCCACTAAAAATAATGGTATATTATTTTTATTACGGTATTTTTCATTGTGTGGTTATGGTTTACTTCTTTCTGTCTTCGAATCATGCTAGCTTTCTTCTCTTTGTACTTCAAAAGCATCTGATTGATCTGAATTCCTAATCCAGAAGTTAAATCACTATAATCTTCGGCTAAAAGACCCTCCAAGTATTGTATTTCCTCGTCATCCATATCTTCTTCAATGTCTTCGATTTCTCCCTCTTGTGCTCTATAGTTAAATAATAAAATAATTAATAATTACAAAATTTATTTTTTTTAAGTTATACTTGTCTGTATGGTGATGCTCTTCAAATTGTTTCACTGTTTCTATTTGTTTTAATGTGGTGTCAATATTCAGTTTTAATTCTCTGAGGGAGTGTACTTCTTTATCTTCATTCCTAATTTAAAATTATATATTTCAATAAGTGTAATGCACTGTATTAAAGATAAACAATTATAATAATGCTCACAATATACTGCGCACTGCAAAAGGCAAATGTGTAATAGGTGTAACAAAATGGTCCATCAGTTTCTCCAATTCCAATTTACTTTTATCAAATTGAAATTCTAGCTTTCTCTGTGTTAAAGAGATTTGTTCTTTCAAGTATTGCTCTAAATCCTCTGTAATTCTAGGGTCCAACTCGAAATGCGATATTTGTTGAGACGGCAAAAGCTTTCTGTTTCTAATTTGATGAAGTAATATATTATAAAATAATAATTTCACGTAAATGTTATCAGGAACAAAGTCCAATAAACCTGTTCATAATTTGGACATATTCTTCTACTAAGCCGCGTATAATTCGTAAAACCTCTTCTTTCTTCTTTTCAGCGGTAGAGATTATTCGATTCTGCTCCAGTTGTGTAATTATCTCTTCTAAGCTTGGATGATCATCTTCCATGTCTTCAATATTTTGGAGCTGTATTCATAAACACAATTAAAATATATTGTTAATGTAAAGATATTAGTCTCAAAGGTATCAATTATTTACTAGAGGTAAGGAGTCCTCTGCGACAGGTATTTCTATGCTTTCATCCTCGGCGTCAGAGTTAATTGTAAAAGCAAATATGTTTCCATCATAACCACTCGTCAGCAGCATTTTCTTGTCGTAGCTTAATAACATCTTGGATATGCGTCCATTATAATAATCATGTATGGGAAGAATCCAGTAGTCTGAAAAGTCCAATGGGTCTTCCATATTCATCCTGCATACGTGAAGTTCTCCATATTGTGTTCCCAAAAACAAGTATTTCTTGTTATCGCTTGAAAACAAAAGCAATATTAATTTGAAGTAAATTTTCCTTTCTAGAATATTTTTACATTGTCGTACTAGAAGAAGCAATTGTATATCTCCACGTCTTCCGCGTTTTTAATTATTCTGCTTTTGATTGGTTTGGTGTCCCTAATTCTCCCAGACAGTGGACGAGGGTATATGTAAACGTATCCTGCATCAAAACCACTCACAAACAGCCAAACATTGTTGTCAATACCATATTCTATTACTGAGATTTTATTTGGAATTTCTGGAATGTAGATTTCTGGCAGGGTTATCTTCATATCATCAAATTCAGCTATAATAAAAATTGAACATAATAATACGAATGAAATTAGTAATTTGATTTTAATCAAATTAGAAATAAATCATTACTAAGGTATGTTTCCTCATCAATCACCATATGCGGGTTCTCTTTCATTAACTGCTCCAGTTCTCTCTTCTTTTCTGCGATTTTCATCTGTTTCTCTTCTTCGAATTCTCTTTTTACCTTTTCTCTCTGTATCAAAGACTTCACTGACTCAAATTTGAATTTTGCTGATTTGCATTTAACTAATTCATAAGAAGTAGTTGTGTATGACTGAGGTGTGATGGGTAACTGTACTTCCATGAAATCTCCTTTAAGACACCCAACTAACAAAGTTGCTTTCTGGTCATATTAAATGATATAAAATTATTTACAATATTTAAATAAATTAATTGGGTCTGTATATTTACCTCTTGTGCATTCCACGTCATACAAGTAGCAGGCGAAGGAACCTTTACATAGCCAATAGGTATGATTTGTGGATAAGTATCAGTGGATTGCATGTTGAATACAAAAATAGTAGCATCTTCGCTGCCCGTTATCAGCAAATTGCACGAAACATTGTAATACATTAAAGTAATTGGCATGGAATGTGCTTTTATACATTGAATTAGTCTTGTATAATCTCCTTTTATATTGTTCTCGACCACAGCTGCCTTTATTGCTATTGTTATCATTCTAATAATACCACTTCGAAACGCGCACACGATTGTAGAACCTGTTCTTTCGACCTAAATATTTTAAGACTGTTAAGAATTTTTTTAGTATTTTAAATATGAAAAAAGGCAATATTCACCTTGCATGGAAGCCAAACTACTTGACTGCCACTATCACGAAATCTGTGACCAACTATTAATTTCTTTTCAATGTCATTATAAACATGCAGTTGACCACTTTCATCAATTGTAGCAATGTATGGTCCCCAATCTGCTATGTCCATGTCGACTATAGGACCAGCATGGCACCTAAATATCTTCGTTTGTACTTGGTCTTTTTTACTTGTAGAAAGATCAAGCAGCCATAATCCACCATTTGCATCCTGCCAAATATAATTTCTGTAAACAGGACTAATAAACACTTTTGTCATGCAACATCTTTACCTGAGCATACCACATTGTTTTCTCTGGTTCATTTCGTTCTTGTTTCTGGATACTCATGAGCATCGCATCTTTTTGAAAATGTGTCTCTTCTTCTGTAATATGGAATTCATATATTGGTTGCAATTCGAGGAACGGTTCTTCTTGGGGGAGATCCGCATGGTCAATAGTATCATAAAACCAAAATCTTATCCATCCATCCAATCCTGTACAAGATGAATGCTGACAATTACAATTTACCTTGCAGCTACTTTGCTAATTAAATTTAAATGAAGTTTGAAACATTACCAACTGATATAAGTTCACCACCGACGAATTCAAATTGAGTAATATAATTCATGTGTGCTGGCTCTGCATTTTTTCTAGATGCTTCGAGTTTAATTAAATTTTCATTCCATAATAATATATTACCCCATTCACAACCCGAAATTATCTAAAATATGCAAAACCATATTTCTTAACATATTATATTATTTTAATACATATCTAGTATTAATTATGATTTCTCACTGTTTCATTGGGCATTGGAAGAATTGCTATGACATCAGAAATTTCTGTATTCCCAAATTTACCAGTTTGCCCTTTCAATTTCAATCCAGTGAAGGTTCTGGCTACTTTCCAAACTTTGATATGTCCTATTCCACTTGATGTCAATTGCCCAGGAACATATTTAGAGAAAGTTACATTGTACACATCTTGTACATGTGATTTACATTGCAAAATGATTGTTAACTCTTTCCAATTCCAAATAGAGATGTAATAATCAGGTTCGCCGCCTTGGGAAACCAGTAGTAAACCATCAGGACTGTAATTAGAATATTTAATTATATTTGAATAAAATATCATTTTTTAATATTTATAGCAGGTTTGTCTACCTGTAAGCCAAGTGGAAGTAACGTTTTGTTGTCCCTCCTTCCAAGATAGTTACAATTTTCATAGATGGCCACTTGTATATAATTATTACTGGATTCGTGCCATTTTCTGCTACAGCAAAATGTTCTTTCTTTGGATTTTTCTATAAATTATAAGATTAGTAAATTCATGAATTCATAAATACTTATTTAAAAAAGATATATACTCACAGCTATGTGACCAATACCACCACCCAAAATACTTCTTCTGAACGTCATTGTATTTTCTATTACGTTGAAAAAATGAATTAAATTTCCAGACGTAAAGGCAACAGTATCTTTATCAACCACACACAAATTGAAGTACTTCTTACAATCGTACGCATAAGAATAGCTATTCAATGTTAAGGAATTATACATTTAATGTAAATAAAGGATTTATGTTTTAATTCAGGATACAAAAGTTCCAGAAAATCCTGTGGTATGGTCCCATGTTCAGGTTTTCTGGCAAGAGACGAATATTCTTCGACGAACTCCCAATCAATTTTTTCTTTAGGAGTTTCATTGTCCTTTCCATATTTAGAATCAGTTTCATTATCAATACTTTCTCCTGTATGACTTTTAAATTCATCTTTACCACCGTCAGCCATGTTGTTTTTGTGAATCAATCTCAAAACATCAACGTATTGCGAAATTTACGAAAAGTCAAATACAAGCGTTTGTTTGAGTTTTCTTTAATTTACATGTTTATATATTAATTGGTTGATAAATTTCTGCATCATACAATTTTCTCTCTGTAGCATCCCGCGGCTCGGAAAACACGTAAAGACACGTTAAAGAGCAGTGACAATGATTTTTTCTCGACCCTCATTGGTTGGACGATCTTAATGTGGAGAAATTCGGAAAATGGTGACGTTAGAGGGGCGTCGTTAAAGAGCACATCGAAATCGCGATACTACGAAGGAGAAACTGTGATATGAGATATGGATGTGACTAACATTGTCTTGACAATCCAGGGGTGGCAACAAATGGCATTCAATCTCATGTATCCGTGTTGTTAAGCGACTGTCAAATAAATACGAATCTCAATTGTAACAAAGTAATTTAATCATGGTGAGTAATTAATGAGGTATTGATACCAAATACACTTCCTTTCACTGTTTATTTGCATTACCATAAGTTATATCTCCTCGACACAACTTGTCAGTTTCATTAGCGGAAAGCTGTCGCAAAAATTTTAAAACAACCCCAAATTCGATCACAGATTCGCTTCATTCTTATTCAAAACAGAGCTGGGAAAACCAGGTTAGCTAAATGGTACATGAACTTTGATGACGACGAGAAACAGAAATTGATAGAGGATGTCCATGCTGTGGTGACTGTTCGAGATGCCAAACACACCAACTTTGTTGAGGTAATATTGTTATATCAATTTACAAGTTATTGTGAGATACCAAATCTTCTATATTTCAGTTTCGTAACTTCAAGATTGTATATAGAAGATACGCAGGTTTATATTTCTGCATTTGCGTCGATGTCAATGACAATAATTTATGCTACTTAGAAGCGATACATAATTTCGTCGAGGTATTAAATGAGTACTTCCATAATGTATGTGAATTGGATCTGGTTTTCAACTTCTATAAGGTATGCTTGCATTTTAAACTTCTAACAAATACAAGTAATTGTCATAATGAACATTTTTTTACAGGTATACACAGTTGTAGATGAAATGTTTTTAGCAGGGGAGATAAGGGAGACGAGTCAAACAAAAGTACTGAAGCAGCTTTTGATGTTAAACTCGTTAGAATAAAGTTATTCCATTTACTTTGTTGCATTAATTGAACACTTCATAAAAATATAAAAAATAAACTATATTATGACGAAATATCTAATGAATTCGCATTCGTATCGTCGAATATGATTATTTAATTATATAATGAAGCGGAAACAATATTTCAGTATGGTTTATTAAAATTTCGAAATCGATTAGCAGTATTTTTAAGATACTCGCATATCAAATTATTTTCATCTATCAATCGATTGTTCGATTTCAATTAATCGAAGCACGATAATCGATTCATCGATGATTCAAGTTTTGCGATATTACAACACGCCCTACTATCGATATTTTTGAAAGGATCGATTCTTAAATATCACATGTATATATATTTTAGTATGCCTAGGTGTCCTTAGCAAATCAATTGTACATTATGGTTTATGAAAATTTGTGATCGATTAGTATTTTTAAACATCTCACGTATCGAATTTTTTCTCATCTATGAATCGATAGTTGAATTACATTTGAATTACGTAGTCGAGGTAATCTGTGATTCGAGTTATCGAGATTTGCGATATGGTACATAACAACGCGAGCTTTATTGAAGTGCATGACTTTGATGGGCGAAAAATTTCGATTTTATGTGTAAATAATTAACAATCCATGTAAACTTCAAATTAGTTTCTCTTGTTTTATTGATAAGCAATGATTGATTCATCAGCACGCGTCTGCCCATCAGAGATACTCGAATCACGTTGATAGTGTTTATATAAATTATTATCACTATTTATTTCATATTGATTTTTTTTATTGCTCTAGCGTTATTAACAATCTGTGAAGTGTTCCTTTTCTTATGGTACACATAATGTGGAGAAACTAACCTTTTTAAATAAAGAAATAATGATACATAGAAGTTTCCTGTTACAATGGATTCTGGTGGTGATATTTACGATCACTATTATTTACTTAAAGTTGAAATTAAATTTGCTGGAGGATCACTACAAATTATTGCGTACGCGTGATTATAGAGAATGTAATTTTACGAATTTCTAACGTAAAGAGCATCGTCCTTTTAATATTTCATTCTGTTAAAGGTGATGGAATAACATAGGTATCGTATCGTACTTCCAGACAATGCCATCACACAAGATCAAAACAGTATTCAAACTGGAGTTGACAGCAGCCAGCGATCTTACAAATCGTTGTCTTTCGATGATGTTGTTATCATCTACAACAGGGTACCAAAAACAGCATCAACCAGTTTTGTAGGTTTGGTCTATGATCTGTGCAAACAAAACAAATATCATGTTTTACACATTAATGTTACCAACAATATGCACACTCTCACTCTTCCCAATCAGGTAATGTTATATCTTTATATCTTATTCATTTAATTCTGCACAGAATCATTTTAATTATCTATTTGAAATTGCAGATTCAATTTGCAAATAATATAAGTGAATGGACTGCAAAAAAGCCAGCATTTTATCATGGACATGTGGCATTTTTAAATTTTGAAAAGTGAGTAAAGAAAGGCACTTATTGTTTGTGATGTGTATGTTTTCTTATTGTCTTAAATTCAGTATTGTATTTTAAGGTTTGGCGCGAAGCAAATGCCTTTGTATATAAATCTCCTGAGAAAACCTTTAGATAGGTTTGTTTCTTATTATTATTTTTTAAGATATGGAGACAATTTTAGACCACATTTAATCAGGAAAAAACATGGGGATACAAAGGTTAGTGTGCATCATTTATGATTACACTAGATATACATAGCAAATAGCAATAGTTTTGTTATATTTCTAGACATTCGATGATTGTATAGATGCTGGCCAGCCAGATTGTGATCCAAATAACATGTGGTTACAAATACCTTTTTTATGTGGTCATGACCCTGCATGTTGGTAAGATTTAACAACATATTATAATAACAATAATTTTTTACCAATATTTAAATAAATACTATTTAACAGGGAAATTGGAAATAGTTGGGCACTGGAAGAAGCAAAGAGAAATTTACAGAAACATTATCTCCTTGTGGGAGTCACAGAGGAATTAACGGAATTTATTGAAATTTTACAGATTGTGCTTCCACGTTTTTTCAAAGGAGCCTACAATTCTTTTTTACACAGTAAGAAAGAAAATATTCAATAAATCTCGCTTGCTACGTAAAATGTTTACAATTCATAATATTCCAGATAACAAATCACACTTGCGTCAGACTACACAGAAAATCAATCCACGACCGGAGACGGTAGATAAGATACAGAAATCTGTTGTCTGGAAAATGGAGAATGAATTGTACAATTTCGCTCTGACGCATTTCCATGCCGTGAAGAAACGTTTGATAAATGCCTCTCCGCAAGACGCGAATCAACGATTTATGTACGAAAAAATACGACCAAAATAAATTTAGTTTCTTAAATCAATAGAGTTTTTTATCGTGTCTTTGTATGAAAATATAAAATTATCTAAAATGAAGAAAAATTCATTTGTAAAACTGTAAAACAATGAGATATTTTATTGATTTGGTTTCATATTCAACGAAGTAAAGGAACATTCACACAGGTTTCAAAGCAAACATGTAAACAGGATACAATCCACGTGGAAATTTGTGTTGCAGTTCTTCTTTCACACAAACTAAATTTGATTTCTGGAATATATGGTATAATTGTGATAAAGGACGTGTTACAGAAGAATCTTTATAATCGATTTCCAAATGTTTGGTGCTAGTTACATTCTCCTTGACTACTATTATACCGTTAGATTTTAAACCCATCCTACAAAAATTATATTTAAGAGTTACTTAGATATTTGAATATTGAATATGAAGTACTTACGAACAGTTTTTAAAGAATTGTACTAAATCATCATCTTTCAAATGACCCAGAACCCATTGACACCAAATGACATCGTATTTCTTGCCGGTGAAGCGAAAGTTTTGGAGTCCTTCAAATGTTACTGAATTAACTAAATGCCTTTTATATAGTTAACAGCACCAATTAAAAATTACCAATGGGGTAGTAGCTGCCAATTTTCAAAGAATAGTTTTTCAAGTATGTTTTAGCAGCCTCTAGAAATTTTGAATTTTGTTCCACTAAATCGACGTATTTGAAATGATTTAACAATAAATTCTTAGTTATCCTTCCTATGCCTGCACCACAGTCCAATGCATATGTTTTTGATGGCGCACACTTTGACTGAAATTAAACAATACAATTACTATAGTATTGGTTTACTAATAATTATACAATGTTTAGATTATCATACCTCAAATAGAGCCTTTAAAAACACTGTAGATCCCTTAATATCAGTTTGGGAGATAAATCCAAAACCTCCAAGCATACCATCTACAGTTGGTGGAATGTGCTCCCAATATTTGGCAGCCGCAGTATAAAATTCATTTTCTTCATTTCCATCCTCTTCTCTTTCCATTATTAACGTTATTATAGTTACTATTAAGTTAAGAATTTAATAACTAGGAAATAAGATGAAATATGCTGAAAATATGCCATGTGTTTCACTAGCAGAACAATTATTATATATGCTTCATTCTATATTTGTTGATATATTTATTCCAGTATGAAATTTTTATTTCACTGAAAATTTCGTAATAAAGCCCTTCTTTATTATTTTTATATCACATATTAAATTTCAAGTAAACATAATTGTAAATATACTAGTATCGATGATCAATATTTTATCGATAATCGCCTTCTACTATCGATATTTTCTAAAATCTCGATACTAAAATGTCGATCGATGTATTTAAATATTTACATGTTCTAATGTGTCGAGATATCGATAGTGAATCGATTATCGTTTCCAGAAGCTATCTTAAACAAAAATAGATAAATAATAAAATATATGAACAATATTACGAACGAAAAAGCTGTTCTTGGTTTCAGTATTTACGTGGAGAACATTAAAGTGAAATCATTTGACTATAATGAAAATCCATACTATGGCATAACTGTACGCACTCATTCGTCAGTTTGGTTAGGATAAAATCGATGTTAGTCGTTAGCGACCACTTCATCTGGAGTCATGGCAGAAGTGAGTCTTTATGATTCAACAATTTGTAGATTGTGTGCGGAAGACAATGGAAATGGAGAATTGCTTTACATAGGAGACAACGACGATCCGGATTTGAGTTCCATGGTGAATCGGTATTTGCCGCTCAAGGTACGAGCTTCAAAATATCAGTCTTTAACTTGACTTCCTGCTTTTTGTATAAATACTACACGAATCAAATGTTCAATGTTTCCTTTTAATACTTTCCGCGTAACTTCGTATATTTGTTTGTTTTACGAAAATTTGTTGCTCTGTGAACAAGTTCATCGGTGTTTCCATGAAGAATTTACTCGGAGACAGAGTGTTTTACACGACAATGATTGATTCAGTTGTATCGATGAATTATTAAAGCGCTTATGTTACTCATCACCATTTTAACATCTCTATCAGCGTTGTTGCAAGTTTCTGTGTCGGTTTGTCGATTAAAAGACAGCTCGCACAGAGGAACATAAAAAGTTTTGGAGTATAAACTGCAATTCGTGAGATCGTAGGCACACAAGTGCGTAGTTATAAAAATTTGATATTTTATTTTAAGGTTATGATACTGTAAGATAATATTTCTTAGTCATACTTACAACTATTTTCATATTCAAGATCCAAGATGATGGCAAATTACCACGCACCATATGCCCCGGTTGTAACATACAATTGGAGGCAACAATTCAGTTCTTCGAGCTATTGGTCGATGGTCAAAGGAAAATCCGTGAGATGTGGAAGCATCAGGTAGAACAACAGCGTAAAGCTGAACGGGAACGATTTCGTGCTGGAAAAGATACTCCGGAAGCAGTTGCAGATACGTTGGAATTAGATAACATTTCGCAATACAATGAAAAGGATCAGTTCGAGCAGCAAATTATAATAAAAAGTATTATTTTAGATAATATCTTAATTAGTTTAACTGTTGGAGAGATTGTGAACTACTGTTTATTTTAATTTGTTGTAGTAATGCCAGATGGTTCTATGTATGCTGCAGAGCATGAAATGAGTTTGCAAATGGAGGGATTGAGTAAACCAAAAAGGAAGAGGGGGCGACCACCGAAAACTCACATAGAAAGCATATCCATGGTTTGTATAATATTTTTGATCTACAGCTATTTTAAGAAGCACTCTTGTCATGAATTGTGAGCAGTTTTTAAATTTACATTTAGGAATTAGCAAAGGGGGAGGTGGCAGAAGGTGGGAGTCAAGAAGAGGAGGATAAACAAGAAGAGGAGGTAGATGAGATCGACGGAGACGGGAGGCGTCGTAGGAAGCGTAAAGTTCCAAAAAGGTATTTATCAGAAACCAGATAAACTAATGTAACTGCTGCCGTTGTTATAAGAGAGTATAAAATGGCTTAGATACATGGAAGCAGTTCAGGGCAAGGAATTAGAGAGAATATACAAGGAGGAGGGAGTAATTGATGAAGAGGACGACGAAGAGCCGGATAATTTTGAGGACTCGGAAGAGCAACTGAATATGTCTGTTCCCGATAGTCAAGAAGGTAAGAAACGATGAGACACTTAATTAAGGTATTTATTCAATAAACTTTCGCCTAATGCAGAGATAATTGGTCATTTGGAATCCAAAGAGGGGAAGGATTTAGGGGAGTTAATTATAGTAAATCGAGGAAGAGGACGAGGTCGACCGAAAGTACGTCGTAGAAAAAATAAATTCACGTGCCAGCTTTGTGGCCGAGGCTTTTTACAACGGAGCAGATACATTATACATAAGTAAATAATTACGTTTGTAGATATTATTACAGTACGTGATTTAAATGACTAAAATACTTTTTACGTATAGGAGTTTCCATAAAGGAATAAAGTACGAGTGTTCAGATTGTAAGAAGTTATTCACAAATAAGGAAAATTTAAGTTTGCACCAGAAAGCAAATCACCACGATGGTTGTAGTCAGAGCATCGAGCAAAATATCCAAGAGGCAAAATTAAAATCTCCATCATCCGAAGAGGTTCATAGGGTTGAAAACACTCTTGAATCTCCTTCCCCTGAAGAACCAAATATAAGTAAATTATCAGACACATCTGACCATGCCCAAAAGCTTTTCTCATGCGAACAGTGCGACAAATCCTTTGAATCCATACAGGATTACGACTCGCACACAAAACTAGACCACCAGTGTGAGAAGTTGTTTCTTTGTACAGTTTGCAATAAGAATTTCGTACAACAATCTGCTTTGAAGGTTCACATGCTGATACACGAAGTGAGTAACACAAAATTTAAATATTCTTTTATATAGGCACACGATAACTAGTTGTTGTTACTCAGAGAAATAAATTGGAAAAAGAATACCCGTGCGACATTTGTGGAAAAGTTCTGAATCATCCTAGCTCGGTAGTCTACCACAAAGAGGCAGAACATAATAATGGCCGTCGATTTGTCTGCAACAAGTGTGGCAAAAGTTTCAAGCACAAGCAACTACTGCAACGTCACCAGCTGGTGCACTCGGACGATCGACCATACATTTGTAAATCTTGTAATGCCAGCTTTAAAACGAAAGCGAACTTGATCAACCATCAGTCGACACACACCGGCGAGAAGAAGTACTTTTGTGAAATTTGTGGACAACAGTTTGCTCATAAAACTAGCCTCACGTTGCATTACAGGTAAAATGTTTTTAGAAGCTTGCATAAATGAATAAATAAATAAATAAATAAATAATGTTGTGTTTAGGTGGCACACAGGTCACAAGCCGTACACTTGCGAGGTATGCCACAAAAGTTTCTCGCAGAATGGAAATCTGCAAGAGCATATGCGAATACATACGGGAGAGAAACCGTACTGTTGCGACTATTGCGGAAGAAAATTTACAACTTCTTCACAGTTTAAACTTCATGTCAAACGACACACTGGGGAGCGACCTTGGAAGTGTGAATTCTGCGCAAAATGTTTCTTGCACAAAGACACTTGGAAATGTCATGTACGCAGACACAAAGGGGAACGCCCTTTCCAATGTGCTCACTGTAATCGTGGGTTCACAGAACAGTGGGCATTGAAAAAGCACCTACGTCTTCATACTGGTATGTTTCGTGTTAATTTCCGATTTTATGATGCGTTATCATTAACCGGAAATTTACTTAACAGGAGAGAAACCGTATTCCTGCGACGTATGCGGGAAAGCTTTCGCTGACTGCTCAAATCTCACAAAGCATAAAAAGGTGCACAGAGAGAACAAAATTTCCACAATTGGTGAGGTCGAAGGCTCGCCAATTGGAGAAGTCTGGCAAATTCTGCCGAGTTCCCAGGAGTCTGACGAACATTCGTTGACCGACCAAATGGCTCAAGTCATCACGACGGATGATGCATCGGGTGATGGTATCCAGCAAATCATTTACGTGTCGTACCAGGATCCTGATGATCCTAATCAGTCTCGGACTTTACATTTTGGTAAAAATATTAATTAAGCTTTAAGGAAACTTTTTTTAAATTAATACACACAATAAATGTAATTTACTTATGATTTAGTTGATGCCGGCATGATAAGGAACAAAGAAGAAAAGGTAAACGCTAATCAGTCATTACCTAACATAAATGTTGAAAGTACCGAAATGTTGTCGAACGCTGCTCACAATAACGGTAGTAGCAATTCAAGTGAACGAATGAATGTGGAACTTTCGGAATCTGATCTTCAATTGCAGGTAAGATTATGACGTTAAGTATTTAATCAAATCGGAATATTAGATACAAACAGTGTATTTGCAGATCACAGACGAAGAAGGCAATCCGATTCCCCTTTCGATACAAGATGCCCGACAACTTCTATCTCAGAGCCAGTTTGTCAATCAACTTAGTAACAGCCAAGAGATTAGAGTTCATCCTGGAGTGATCTCAGATGACTTAACAGCGCCATTGAGTGTTCATGTTAATCAAGGTTCTGACATGAAGAACGTTGACATTACGAACGCAGAGGAAGTAAAAATAAAGAATATTTCGAGCGTGCAAACGGATGCGGAAGCAATTGTGAAAGCATTAGAGGTAATATTATTGGAAGTCTAGGTTCTGATAACAAATAGGCAATTTTGTAGACTTTTTGATGATGTATCTTTGATAGTACTATGGACATTGAAATATATTTAAACTGATACAATTAATTATCTGCAATAGGACGAGAGTACAGATGCGAATGCAGTTGCAACAATCAATCAAATGGAAGAATCTGAGCAATCAGGAATCACAGAAAATGAGCAAGCAATCGAATTCACCACGCAAGACGGCCAAAAAGTTCGTTTAGTCACTTCTTATCACGTGGACCCAATACAATTAGCCTCTGAATACCTGACTATTGTATAAACAAAAACGTACAACCGTATAATTTTTTTTTCGTAAGTATTATCGTTCATACAGATACGATTAATCAGTTGTAAAGGAAAACGTTTTTGTTTTTAAGAATTGTAGAATACAAATAGCAACTAATAAATCAACTAATTCGTTTGAAATGGTTATACATAGGTTCCCAATAATTCGTATGCCTTCAAAATGTTTTTTATTTTTGCTAGCTTTTATAACAACTCTTACGTACAAAACTCTTATATCGTTGTTGCTGGCTGTTTAAAACACTAGCTGAAGATTGTACTGTACAATTGTCCGATAGAGTGCATTTATGTTTGATGATTTATGGAAATGTCGTTGATTGCCGGGAAACTATGCCGTTTGCAAAGTTCATATATCTTCGGCAAGTGCGCATGATTCTCAACAGCGTAATCGTTCTTTAACAATTCCGCTTTTAGGGATGAACCAACTATGTCTTTGTATCCGACTAATTTCGTTCCAACTTTCAAAGTGTTCACCCAGATTATGTTCTTTAAATGTAGAATTACCTAAAAACAATATGTTATATTATTTCTCATTCGGAAGAACTATGTATACTTTTAAAATATGATTTACCGTTCCTGTAATATAAGATCTTTCGTCAACATTGTCCTTGAACCACTGGAACACAGCATCAGTCGCGCACCGACTCCAAACATATTCCTCATCGTGTGGAGCTATGCCAGTTACAATTACTTCGGTCACTTGTGCTGGGTATTTCCGAAAATGTTCCGGCATGTGTAACAATCTATATACCTGTCGCAAGTTGAAAGTTCATTATGTTGTGTTTGACCGAATCATGTACTATTATATGTGATATATTACCGTACATTTACATTATTCAGGATAACTCCATTGTCGATGCATTTTACGTTAGCATACTTTGACTGGTCGGTCCTGCCTTCTTCCGCAATGCTTAAAATTTCTACTCTTTTATAACTATCTACTGGTTCCTCTAGACCGCATATGTCACCCACGTTCACTGATTCACATCTTCTTCTATAAATAATATGTTTAATCAATTTTTGGTACTCGAAATTGGTGTTGGATGGTGCAATTAAAAAAATCAATTGATATACAAACCTGTTGTCCATTGACGAGTAATACTTTTGAATTTTTACAATAATTGCCATATATTCCACATTTGAGAGTTCTACTTCCTCCGACGTACCAAATTTAATGTACGATATAATCCTAGCGCTAATCTGTGTGACGTTGTGTATGCTGACTAATCTGAACTTCACTTCATCGTTTCTATTACAACCGAAACAAATAATTATAGAGAATAGACGAAACTAAAATGAAAACTTTTAATTTTGGCTTACACTCCAATATCTATCGTTGGTAAATCCATTTCCGGAATGATTGTGTGTCTCAGCATGCAAGAATAATCCTTGTAACAAAATCCCCACAACTTTATGTTGTTACACAAAGCATAGTTCTCCTTTTTTTTTTCTAAACTATCACGAACATGCTGAAAAATGTTAGAAATACTCACTAAGATAACACGTAAACGGCAAATTCAATTTTTCTATTGCTTTTTATGCGTACCTCAATGTTTTCCAACATATTCTGAGGAATTATAATGTTCATACGACGCATTAAATTGATTACACTCAAAAACTGTATATCGCTGTTTTCATCGACTATGATAGTTACATTGCACCCTGATTTCTCCTGGAAGAGATTGGACAAAATAATGGGATTTAGTAAAATGATACCTAACTGTCTTTTAAAAAGCAGCATACCTTTTGTAAACTGTTAAAAAGTGTTGAGAACCGAAAGTTAAATTGGGTCATAAAACGTAGCGAGATAGAATAGTGTATCAACCAGTCCGCATTTGTCACGTTTAGATCTGACAAAACTTCATCTGTACATATTAAAATTGGATATGAACCACTTATGCAAGCGTCCCAACATTGCTTAATTCCTGTGTCAAACAATTTTAGATTAAATACGCTGTATACATCTACACGATAATATAATGAACACATCTACGTACCTTGCAAAGAAATAAGATTCATATCTTCGTGTGCTAAGAGAACGTCTTTATTGTTCAATTTCAAAAATTCCTGCAGTGTTTTAGCCTCATCACTATTTATACAAACCACCACGGTTCTCAAATTGCAGGGTATATTGCTAACCAGATCTGAAAGACACGTTCTCTACTATCCACATGGAGCAGAATTATTTGAAACGTTTAAAAATAACATAAGTTTACCTAAAACTTTATTAGCTTTGCTTTTTGTATTGACTATATACATTTTCGGGCGCACAGACTTGAAAATTGTGGCTTCTATGAAAGATGCTATGCATATATATGGACAGTCCATTAAAGCGAGTGCGAATTTTTTTAATTTAGATGTCCAATGTTTAGCGGTTGCTATGATTTGTAATGTTGCATTCATATCTTTTAGTTCTCTGTTGCAAATGATTTTGTGCTTTTTCAATAACTTGCTTATCTAAAGAAAAGTGAATTTTATATTATTCATGAACAAGCATAAATACTGTTATAGTAGAATAATAAATATTTACAGAATCGAAGTATCTATCCAGGATGACGTCAATGTCTTCCAAAATGAAATGTTGTAGATTTTCGAAATTTACTAATTTTTTGTTTCGATCTATGAAGCGAGCCAAAAATCTTGGTGTAGACACCAAAACCTGACACCCATTGTACATTTCAGCCTGAAAAGTTATCGAATTATTATTAATTGATTATTTTATTCATTGTTAGAACTTTAGAACTTTACATACCGCTAAGGATCTCTCTGATTTTCCATTAAATGCAGCTACAGATCTTATGGTTCTGTAGTTTTGGAAAAACTCTGTGCACAAATAGTGAACTTCCAATACTTTAGGAGTTGATGAACATAATATTAATGCAACTGGAGACACACCTTGAGGAAACTATATCGAATTATAAACTATTTAATAAGGATGTTTTGATCATTAGTGGACCATAATTATGAACACTTAAACACGTTAATATTATTACACTTGGTTTTGAAGCCAACAGTCCAGAAATGGCAAGTCCACATGCAAAAGTTTTCCCAGATTGTGCCGATCCAATTGCTATCACATCTAAACCATTTTTGACCGCAGGTAAAATGTAAGATTGAATCTTTCTCGGCCTCGAAGATTTAACTAATGATGTCCAAGTCTTGGACATAATTTTATGTTACTTTTAAGTAATTCAATCATGATATTATTATAAAATTATACCTTATGTATTTCAGCAGGAAGTCGTAGATCAGAAATGCTACATAAAGGTTCATATTTAATTTCTCCATAAATTAGTACTTTCTCCTTCTCCCTTGTATTATCAAGTAGCTGATTCCTCATTTTACACTTCCTTATTCTTTCCACATAATCATAAATAATAATAATTTAAAACAAAGTTAGAATACTGTTCTTTTTGTATGAACAACAAACCTTTCTTCCTGTACATTATTTCTATCTTGTTCCTTGTGCTCCTTTGAAACGTTTATATAGAATATAACTTCATCGTTAACTACTTCTTTTTTTAATTTTTCGTGGTTTAAAGGATTTAGTAGAAATTTCATTGTATCTATACAAAAATTAAATAATTATTGTAGTTATATCATAGACTGTAATGTATTAATTTAGGGAATAAAAAATGTATACCTTTTGGCAAATAAGTGGCAGCATTATTAAGACACAAAGCTTTGCTTAATCTTATTATAGTGCCCCTGATATTGAGATAAAATTCACCGTACTTCCTACCATGTGTATCGAATGCTAAATGATCAAAGTAAATTGTACTGGATGCAGCTAATAATTTATTTGTGTACTCGATTGCTGATTTATCCCATTCGTCCAAAAGTCTTTAGGTAGACACAGAAAGCGTTATTAGTGTTTAGAAAATAAAATCATAATTATACAACTTCAACTAAACTTACAAAAGAGAAGTATCTCCTTGTGAGTTAAATTGTAAAACAGTAGGTAAAACATTGTATAAACCAACAGTGTAAGTTAAATATTCTTCTTGAATTAAATTAGCCGAATACATGTAAAAATCATATTTCTGCAATATGACTGCTATTCCATAATCTGGCAAGAAAACATGATACTCTGTGTTTGTGGTATTTAAAATGTTGCTGATAATCCCACGGCACAACCAAGCAGGAAGATCAACATTCTTATTAAGTTTGTCATGTGTTATAATTGTCTATAAATAATAAGAAATTATGAAAACATTGATCTGTTCTAAATTAACAGAAAATAATAATAATTGATAATATATAAATTTATACTGTTGTTTTTAACTTACATCTCCAATGTTTGGTTTGGTGTGTTCCGTGTTTACTTTAAATAATCTTCTCTTTTCTAATACTATTAATTTTTTGTTAATTAAGTTTAATTTTCTCTCGTAATCGTTTTTTTCGAAAATTCTTATCATGTACGGCGTTAGAATGTTTGTTGCTGTAACTGTGATTGCCGTGGGAGGCAAAATATCTGTAAACAAGAAAATCCATGGCGTTATTATTTCATACGATTGAATTCGTACCAAAAATGTTAAAAACAAAAATTAAACCTCTGCTTTCGATGCTATCAGTTATCATTTTAGTATTTTTGTTATAAATAGAGTCACAGATATAAATAAAAATAAAATAGGCAAAGTGAAAAAATATATACAACTCGCGATATCACGTTGCCAAAAGTGATGAAGGAACTAAAGAACATGACAAACAGTAGAGATGGAATTTTGGAAATTAGAGTGAGAGGACCTTTCGTCTTTATTGTTGCCTAACATTTTTAGGCACCTTTCCGGTATTCACATATATTTGTATTCGATTTTGAAAATAGAAAAAGGAAAGTGTATCCTTCTAAAAGAAGATAAATTTGTCTCCGTATGCTCAGGCATAGCTGCAATTATTCTTAAATTCATTTCACTGACAGTATTTTTTCTTTTTTTTTCTTTATATTGACAGAACGGAACTCACCCTCGTCATATGCTCATGGGGAATTTGGTTATTTTTAAAGTTATTTCACAATAATTAATAATTAATTGACTTTAACTTTAAGTCATTTCGACTGGTTTTATAGTTAACAAAAAGTAAAAGATCAACAAAATACATATAATGTTTAATTTTTAAGATATTTCTGGAAACTGCTTTTATAAGACATTAAAAAATATTTACGTATATTACATTACGTTTTCTTGAACAGTTGTCGTTTATTTTGTCGTTTATCGTCGAATCTGTCGTTTATTTTGTTATTATCCTAATTTTACCATAATTAATGTTTTTCGTTAGTATAGCGGCATAACGCTGAAACCGTTAGCCAAAATTACCAACGGTCGATTTTGGCTAACAGTTTGAGCGTTTTACCACTGCAACAATTGGCGCTGTACGGACCCCGAACGGAGCTTTTATGTTTCGCCACGAGAGGCGCTGTTTGCAGTAATTGTTTTTACTCCGTCGGTCACGTTGCCCAACAGTTTGGGCGTTTTGCCACTGGACGAATTGGCGCTGTACGGACCTCGAAAAAAGCTTCGAGGTTTCGCCGAAAGAGGCGCTACTTGCAAGAGATATGATTAATAAGAAGTACGATTAATTACAGTAATAAATGTGAAAATAATTACCTTGCAATGCAGGAGAAATTCTTGATAGATTTAACGAAACATCTTTTCTGCTTACATTTGACTCAATTTTTTTTTTATACTTTTAATTCATACTTATGCATAGACTCGAAAGACACATTAATACAAATGTTTCAGTTATATTTCCACTAATATCGTATACTCGCAAAACAGCGAGAAAACAAAAGAAATGAACAGCTTGCAGTAAACACAATTTTCTTTCCAATGGATTTTAACAATATATCTCAACGAAAGATATATATAGATATAGATAGATTATATATAATAATATAGATTTAGAAATTTATGTTCTCTCTTTTATCTGATTATTTTATCCGATTGATCCAGATTCGTGGAATATTTGACAACATAATACGACGATGCTCGTCGTTGTTTCCCCGAATGTACGAAAATACGGTAAGCAAGTAAAATCAAGTGATTTAGGGTACATCGTAAACTCGTGAAAAACAAGAGGGCCACGCAACCGTTCGGTTCAAATTTCTAAGAAACATTTCGCAACGCTCCCGGAACGATAAAAATGTACAGAGCAAATACACAGCCGATCGTATCGGAGTACGTTATTTCTCCGGAGATGTTACTCGGCCACGCTTTAACATTTAAAATAAACCTACCGAAACCCAAAAAAATAACTAATTCACATTTCCTTATACCGACGAAAAGACTGTATTTATTTAAGCCCCCCCCCCCNCGGACCCCGAACGGAGCTTTTATGTTTCGCCACGAGAGGCGCTGTTTGCAGTAATTGTTTTTACTCCGTCGGTCACGTTGCCCAACAGTTTGGGCGTTTTGCCACTGGACGAATTGGCGCTGTACGGACCTCGAAAAAAGCTTCGAGGTTTCGCCGAAAGAGGCGCTACTTGCAAGAGATATGATTAATAAGAAGTACGATTAATTACAGTAATAAATGTGAAAATAATTACCTTGCAATGCAGGAGAAATTCTTGATAGATTTAACGAAACATCTTTTCTGCTTACATTTGACTCAATTTTTTTTTTATACTTTTAATTCATACTTATGCATAGACTCGAAAGACACATTAATACAAATGTTTCAGTTATATTTCCACTAATATCGTATACTCGCAAAACAGCGAGAAAACAAAAGAAATGAACAGCTTGCAGTAAACACAATTTTCTTTCCAATGGATTTTAACAATATATCTCAACGAAAGATATATATAGATATAGATAGATTATATATAATAATATAGATTTAGAAATTTATGTTCTCTCTTTTATCTGATTATTTTATCCGATTGATCCAGATTCGTGGAATATTTGACAACATAATACGACGATGCTCGTCGTTGTTTCCCCGAATGTACGAAAATACGGTAAGCAAGTAAAATCAAGTGATTTAGGGTACATCGTAAACTCGTGAAAAACAAGAGGGCCACGCAACCGTTCGGTTCAAATTTCTAAGAAACATTTCGCAACGCTCCCGGAACGATAAAAATGTACAGAGCAAATACACAGCCGATCGTATCGGAGTACGTTATTTCTCCGGAGATGTTACTCGGCCACGCTTTAACATTTAAAATAAACCTACCGAAACCCAAAAAAATAACTAATTCACATTTCCTTATACCGACGAAAAGACTGTATTTATTTAAGCCCCCCCCCCCTCCGACATTTAGATGACAATGCATGTTCGAACACAGAAGACAGAATCCTCGACGATTTCACAATTTCAAACAATTTTCAAAACAAACGCAACGCAAGACCGACGACCGAAATTCGACGGCTAGGCGTGGGTGTTGATTTCACAACAAATCAACGACGCAGGTAACCGGGTCAACCTCGCTTTAACCTCGACTGCGGATGTATGTTCCGGCAACCCTAATCTACCCGACAGATAAGATATATTCTTAGAAATCATTGTCATGGGACGCTCGTTGCCCTATATATGCATTCTAGGTTCACCGTCGTGTCCAGTCGCCCGTAAAAGCTATCCGTGGAAGCACGGCAAACATACAACGTGTCTCATAGTTACGAAACGCCGCAGAAGATGCTGCTGCTAACCGTTCTCCTAATTACGGTCGCATCCGGCGCAAGGGCCGACGGTGGCGCTGACGGCGTTCTGCCGAACGAGAGCAGCAATTTCCACGGATTCATGTCGTCGCCGCCGAGCAGAGCGAAATTATGTCAATTACGGGTAAACAGAGACTGCGGCGGCATAATATACGAGCCGCAGAGCATCGAGGGCCATAAAGGATTCCCGGATTCGCCTAGGAGCCCTGCGGACGGCCAGATCGCCAGCGCGAACAACGAGCGTTTCAGCAAACTGAACGAGTACGGGAAAGATCGTTGGACGAGCGTCGATTTTCCGACGTTGAGCCGCTACGACGACAGCAGCGTCTACTTCAATTTCAATTGGACGATGACCGCGCCGCATTCCACCGACAGCATTCGGGTGTTCGTCAGCAACGAGCATTACAACACGGAGGAGCCACTGTCGAGGAAACACTTGGACCTGAATCCGATCTGCAAGGTGGATTTCCACGGGCAACGTCCGCCGAGGGATTTGTCGTTGGCTTGCCCGATCACCGAGGAGAAGTTCGAGGAGCTGAAGGGCCTCCGGGAATTGCTGATGTTGAGCATATGGGACATCAATGACACGGTGAACGCGTTCTACCAGGTCGTCGATCTTCTTCCGATACCGGAGAGCGTGACCTTCGACAGCATTCAGAGGAGGAGCAAGGATGTCGCGGATGTCGTTTGAACTGATATCGTTGATGGATGGAGTTTTGGGTGTATAACCTAGTCCGTAGGTGCGATGAACGTTTTACGTAGGGTATGGTGGATCAACCTCTTTGCACTCGGAACAGATTCTGCGAAAAATTCGTTATACAGAATTGGATCGAAATAAAAATCGTTGCTGGTAAATAAATAATAATTATTATTATATATATAATATGTATAATATATTGTTATAAATATTGTTAATAAATAAATAAATTTGGTAAATATTATTGTGTCGCCGTGTCGGCGACTTCCGAGTGCAAAGGGTTAACCCTTGAACGGTGTGAAATATATTGTAAAATATGTAAAAGAAAATAGCTGGCGAATTGAACGAGTCGAAGATATTTTCTTGGGATGTGCACGTTGCAACTTCGTTTAAATGTATCATTTGATCGCAATACATTGTTCATTGCGTGGATGATAAGTTAAAAATAACTAATTGTTGTAGCTACATCAATGGGAAATAAATATTTATGAATTTATACGATCCCGATTCATTTGTTTACACCCTGGACTTCCATGAAAATACGGACACCCGTTAGTATCGAAGAATCAGTTTGTAATTATATGCTACAATCTCGAATCAAAAAATTTCTGAACTGTCCGTCAAACCTGAGCTATTTGTCTTGAGCCGATAAGACAATAGCATCGATGCTCACGATATCTAGGTTACTGCGATGATAATACAAATAGATACGTACATACATATTTTCACGCTTTAAGAATAGTTATCCAAAGAAACATTATTACGATTATATTAGGGGGACCGGAAAGTTATGTCGTTTGTTTACATTAAATTCAAACAGATAAATTTTTAACCAGTTTTTATTTTCAATCAATGATGTAATCACCCTCGTTATCAACAACAATTTAGTATGCAAATTTTTAGTATGCAAAAAAAAGGAATACTGACATGCGCAGAAACGACATTACTTTCCGGTCCGCCTAATATAAGAAAAATGCATATTAAGAATATATACAGGGTGTCCTAGGTGATCTATGTTTACATAACATTTTTCTCTCACTTTGTGCCATAGAATACACTGACAAAGTTTGAACATTAAAACCTGGGACACAAATATACAAAATAATAAACAAAATATATCTCCGCATATCTCAACAAAATTATTATTATTATTTTCACACGATAAATTATATTAAATATATTTTCACAGATGGAAGAATATTATCCTTAAATCCGTGAAAATGATTTCTCGGTAATATTAATTAAAATCACTGAAAACACCCTCTGTGCAGTAATTAGTCAGCATCGTATGTGTCGTTAATCTTGACTGACAGATTGATCCCAGTGATAGAAAGTTACGATTGCGTGTAACAGTTCGAAGAAAGAAACGGCAGGAGACAATAGATAGGGGATAAGATATATTGGCGATAATTGAAACTGGACAACGTATCGACATTGTAGATTGGCGAGATTAGGTGAACGATAAAGATCGGAACACTTGACCAAGAGTCTCGCCGAAGGTCTCATTAGTGAATCACGCACTACAATCGCCAAGTTGTTGTCCCGGACCGAAGAGCGGCACGCATACACAAAAGCATGAGTTTCAACGTACACAGAATCATAACACAAACGACATAGTAAATTGCACCGATCTCGCAATTCGTTTATTTCCTCGCGATTTTTCTTTCGAACTAATTGCTTCGTTATAAAAAAAAGAAAATACCTATTAGCACCGATCGACGCTAACAATTGACACTAACACTAATATTAGTGGCATTGTTTATCTTAATCCGCTCGCAGAAGCCGTTTATCATCATTATCATTATCTCCCACGATCTCCCATTGGGGAAACAATTTAATCGAACTCTGAACGACATCTCATTGCGGCAGATTGCTATTTTATATCTACTTAATCGGTATTGTTACAGCGTTTTGTTCTTCCTGAAACACAAACGAGCTTGTACCGTGCACCATGGTATTGTTCTGTGTGAATCGCAGTATAAAAAAAAAATCAAAGTAAATGCAACAGCGATATCGAGGACGAAAGGTGTCGGGTAACAGTTCACTATTTTCACCCGAGGAAACGGTCGACCTTAGGCAGAATCGTCTCGCAGGTATAAAGACGAGGCCGATGTCGTAACGCAGCCATGAAATCCCATAGCATTTGCATCTCGAATCTCGTTCATGAATTATGGTCCTACGCCGATGCTGCGCGCGCAAAAGATTCAATTAACAATCTCAAAAGTGTTTTTATAATAAGAGTAATCTTTTACTCGATGAACAAATATTTCTCCTGATTCTAATTTTTGTAAAACGACGCATGAAAACGAACATTATTCTTTATTATTACTGGCGGACGCATAAAATACTATTTTCTTTTCGTCGCTTGCGTATATTACGTGCATATATATTACATATATATTATAGAATTATATTATACTAGGTAATGTAGATATAATAATAATAAATATAATAATATTTATTATATTATATTATATGATTATATTAATATAATAAGTATAATATAATTATATTGCATTATATGTATATACATGTATATTATATGATTATATTAATATACTAAGTATAATATAATTATATTGCATTATATGTATATAGATGTATATTATATGATTATATTAATATAATAAGTATAATATAATCATATTGCATTATATGTACATACATGTATAATATAATTATATTATATTATATTATATTATATATATATATATATATATATATATATATATATATATATATATATATATATATATATATATATATATATATCTCACTCT